TTTCTTTACTAATAAAAGAAGTTATTTACCTTAAAATGAATGTGATTCTTCAAGATGTGACCTACAGATAGTCTTCTGTGTAAAACTGTATCAAAATCAATAGTTCTGACTGGCAAAGTGTGTCTATAGAGCAAAGCTTCTTTACCATCACAAAAATTGTAAGCAACAGAGCAAATCCAGATCCTGCCTATGCCCTTTGGCCAGTCAGAACCCAGATGAAAGTTTTGAAATGATGACAAAGAAAGATGGGTTGGGGCATTCCCAATCATTAAACATCAGAAAAACAAATTATCATTAAAAGTAGCATTGCTTCTTATCTGTATTCTTACCTGTACAGATGAAGCTCACTTTGTGATTAACCCAGCAATTAGCACCAGAAGACGTTGGTCTCTTATGACAGCTAAGCATCCACCTGCAAAACTTTCCCACAAATATCTCTACCTCAAGCTAATACTCAGTCCAGCAGGGATACGTTGTTGGATACATTGCAGGACATGCATAAATATGAACTGCAAAAGCAGAAACAATTCAGAAGTGGATGGCATAACTTGAGTCAGCTGATAACTTGCTTTCCCCAGCAGTCTACCCTTTCTAACATTTTCAGCTAACAGGTAGCTGAGCTGCTCATAAATCACCTTTAAACTGCACTCCATGACATGGGATGTCACTCTGAAGTGATGGCAGCTGAATAGCTCAATTCAACCTCAGCAGCTGTCTCAAGCTAAAATTTTTCCATTCATATATTGCATCACTTGCATGATTCAAATAGTCACTGCAAATGGCTGTAATGACCTATGGTGTTACTGTCCTCTGCTGAAGTTATTGCATCCACAGCTCAGCTGCCAGAATGAATCATCTGCAAACTCCTAAGCCGTTTCATGCAAACATACATGGATTAGCTCAAACTACACTCAGCAGCACTTCAGGCTGTTGGCTGACATTTCATTGAGTGAACAAGGGAGGTTTCTCATTGTCTGGTCTTCTGGCTCAGCAAAGAGGGCACGAAACCTAACTGAAGACTGGTAAACTAATAGTTTAGAAAATCAGAAATATCAAGTCTACCACAGAAAATTTTGCAATAGTCTTTCCTACCGCAGCCTGAAACAGTGTTTTAGAATTTGTAGGACAAGTGAACTGATTTTGTTACCCAAGAACAGGGGGTTCACAGAGCTCTTCCACAAGGCTGCTTTGTAAATGGAGAAACACACCTTCTCTCAAGATACCTCCATCAACATTTCATCACTTCTCCAAAGAACAGTTTAAAAAATGTTTCTCTAACTTTCTGCACCCTTGGAAAAAATGCTTCCCCACAGCAGAAGATGACATCTTATTTTCCTATCATGAAAGAGACTTGTTACATCAAAAAGAAAGATTTAAATTGTGCTGGATTTGAGTAATCTAATTGATCATTCCTATGCACAGAATCCATGAAGGATGTTTCCTGAGAGACCTCATAAACCGCTTCACTCCCTAACACACATAGGCTAAAGCGTCTGCTGTCATTTAAAGCTCATGCAAACCCCAGAGGATTTTGATTGCCAAAACCCACCTGCATTTCAATTACATAAGCAACATCTGTATTATTCATCTAGACAGATTTAAAGACTACTTATTATAGTGACATTTATTAAAAATAACAAAGAAAGGGCACACATCTGCCAAGAGCGAGTTACCCATGAACATGGCAATGTGTAAAAGGTGAATTATTATGATGCAGACTCATCAAAATGACCCATGAGCCCAGCAAATCTTGGAAAATGAACAGGATTACTTTATACTTTAAAAACATCTAAGCCTCACAGTATAGGCAGAACATGTAACTTTGTTTCTATATTAAGGGCAGGTAAACAGGAACAAAAAGGTAATTTGGAGTCAGACAGTCAGTTAAAGAAGGCAAAAAAAAAGAAATCCTTGAGACTTTGATTTTTTACTTCTATTTTAACTATTGCTTTTGGCTTCACTGAAATTGATGGTAATATGATTTTTACCACTGAACAAGGCAGCTGTTTCACTTTTACAGTTTGTCCAAGTTTACACATGATTTTGCGAGGTAATGACTTTGTATCCATGAGCCTTTTTTGGTTTTTGTTTCCTCTTTGTTCTAAAAGGATCAAATGGGATTAATTTTTTATCCCACTAGGTGACCAAGAAATGTTTTTACTTTCTCAAATTTGCCTGAAGTTGGTCAGAGAATACCTTGAGGATCTGTTCAGTGAAGTAAGGCTCAACTGAATGACATTCCCTATTTGGGTAGGCAGCAATAGTTTGTTGACAATTACCTCAACCATCTCCCAGCTCAAACACATCTTCCTTTTCATCTCTGCCCCATCTCTGATTGACTTTAAAATTATGACATCCAGGTTGGTGTAGCCTTGTTTATAAGTGGTAACAACCCTTAATATCTGTTATGTAACAACTATTCTAAAATGGCCTGCTTGCGTAGACAGTTTTATTTCACATCAGGGGTGAATTTGTGTGTTTGAGTCTGAGGTGAATCAAGCTGAACCACAAAAAGGGATTTTTAGAGTAGAAAATGTATCCAGAAGGCAAGTCAGTGCAGAATAGCTACTGCAGTGTAAGTACACACCTAAGCTTATTTTATAATAGCTTCACTTAACAATTACTTAACAAAAGAGACAAGGGGGAGGTGAGCGTGACCATAAGGGTTAAACAGCAAAATGCAGATGACTGCTGTAACTACCTTCCAGGATAACCTTGTTCGTGGAAGAAACACAGCCAGTCTGCTAGGCAAGAGAATGTAGGGTTGTACAGAACTTTTGAAATACTATTTAATGTGTTTGGGTTTAGGGTTTTGGTTTTTTTTTTGGTATTTTTATAAAATACCTGAAGTTGTATTGTGGTCATATAATACAGAGGAAAAAGATAGGTACATGTGCCCATATAGAGCATACCTTTTCCCTTTCCCCATTTTTCTTTCAATTATTACTAGTTATTGAGATACACAACTTCTAAATTAACAGGGTGCTCTCCAGTAATACATTCATTTTCCTGTTTGCTCATGTAGTGACACGTAACATTGTTTTCTGAAATAATTATTTCTGTAATAATTGTGCTGCTTTTTTCTTGCACAAGTATGAGGCAAGTCAGTGCTCATTCATTTGAATGCAGGCCTCCTACATGCAAGATATGCCCATCCGAAACTATGAAGACATATTCAACCCTGAAGACCTGCTTTCAGTGCATTGCAATCACAATAAGTTGACCTGTCATTAGATCAACTGATTCAAGTTGGGGAAAAAAAAAAAAGTAGGGAGGTATAAATGCCCTTATTAAAACTTAATTTTTTGCCCCCTAGACCATCTCAGTTCCAATTATGTCATTGTAACTAATGTGAAATGCAAAGTTTTATATATTATGGTGGCACAAATAAAAATCATTCACTTACACCTATATTACAGCGCTATGGGTAAAGCTACAACAGAAAGGCTTTGCCTGCCTTTATGTGAGAGGCAGAGTACAAAGTCATTGGGATCATTAGTCAGAGCTTTTCCAGTCTTAAGTGGTCACTCCAAGCTTTGCAGTAATTGCCACTGACTCAGTGGCCACTTCACAGACCTGTTTGCCCTTCCAGCATGGTGAGTCACTACGACATAGGGCATACACATAGGAATCCTGTCAGGCAGTGCCAGGACCTAAGCCCCATCCCAGGAAAATTATGGCTCTCCCTGCAGCCTCTTTTTTAAGGAAAGAAACATCTTCATCTGTATTCAAGCATAGAAAAAGCGTGTATATAGTAAATACATTATATTGCACACAACAGCAATTTTACTGGAATTTTAGGAATGGCTATAAACAGCCCTATATCACAGCAATGAACAGAATCTCATCCACTGGAATATGCAAGGAGCAAACATCTCCTGGTGTTAACTGTGCTCTCAAAGAAAAAACCCTCACAAACTCTAAGCGCCTTTTCTCAGTGACTCAGTTTAATAAATTGAAATGCTAGGTCCTGCACTTAGGTCACAACCACCCCATGCAGCACTACGGGCTTAGGGAAGAGTGGCTGGAAAATGCCCAGTGGAAAAGTACCTGGGGTGCTGGTCGACAGCAGCTGAACAGAAGCCAGCAGTGTGCCCAGCTGGCCAAGAAGGCCAATGGCACCATGGCCTGTATGAGAAATCGCGTGGCCAGCAGGACCCGGGCAGTGACTGTTCCCCTGTACTCGGCACTGGTGAGGCCACACCTCGAGTACTGTTTGTACTGGCCCCCTCTCTGCAACAAGGACATCGAGGTGCTGAAGTGAGTCTAGAGAAGGGCAACAGAGCTGGTGAAGGGCCTTATGAGAAGCAGCTGAGGGAACTGGGCTTGTTTAGCCCGGAGAAAAGGAGGCTCAAGGTGTAGTGAGGTGGGGGTTGGCCTCTTCTCCCAGGCAACAAGTGACTGGATGAGAGGACATAGTCTCAAGTTGCACCAAGGTAGGCTCGGGTTGACATCAGGAAGAATTTCTTCACGGACAGTGTTGTCAGGTATTGGAACAGACTTCCCAAGGAGGTAGTGGAGTCACCATTCCTGGAGGTGTTCAAGAAATGACTGGACGTGGCACTTAGTGCCATGGTCTAGTTGACAAGGTGTAGATCTGTCAAAGGTTGGACTCGATAATCTTGGAGGCCTTTTCCAGTCGTAATGATTCAATATGATTGTGTGTGATTCTGCGATTCAGACGATGAGCCGCCATCCCCACCGCAGCTCTGCGCGCCCGCCGGGCCGGGCTCGGGCCATCGCCGCTTTAAGGGGGTGTCCCAGCGTTTCCCTGTTTAAGGCCCGCGCGCGCGCGGCGGGCCCGGGGTGGGGCCGGTTGTTGTCGGGCGGTCGGGGCGGCTCAAGGTGAGCGGGAACCTCGGGGGTCCTGGGGGATGGAGCCGCACCGAGGGTCCGCCGGGGGGGAGATCGGCAGAGTCCACTCGGTCCTCCTTCCCGGGAGTCGTTTCGTCAGGGATTAGCGCCTCCTCGCTGCGGGGCAGGCGGGGACACAGGTGTGGCGCTTGGAAGAGGCTGCTGGGATTGCCCGATCCCTGGAACGAGAGCGGGAATGGAGCTTTACTGAGCTCCGGGATGCCGGGGCGGTGGAGCGATCACGGAGGAGAGGAGAGGAGCCCACGGCACCTCCAGATGAGCCCGTAGGACCGACCCCCCTGCGCTGCCTCTCGCCCCTCTCGGTTTCCCTCTCCGGGGCTGTTCTGTCCGCAGCTTCTGACACTGATCACGACCTGCCTGCAGGGGCTCCTCCACCTTTGGCAGCAGTGATTTCTAACGTGGTCTTTAGGCATACCTGCGAAAAGTGGATAAGCAGTGCGCTCTCTGGGATTGCTCTCACGTGGGAGCCTGCATACTGCATCATAGGCTTCCCCCAAAAAAATCCCGTCAGGTGATGCACCTGCCTTTCTGGGAACAGTCTACATTCCTTATGTGAAATTCTGCTAAGAAAAAAATAGGCCTTGTGTATATATACTATATAAATAAATGGTATTTTAAAATAATTTTCAGCAACTCCAATACAACTATTTATATATTTAAAAAAAAGCCTAAGATGGAGTACCTGAGAACTTTTAGTTTTGGGGTTTTTTGGCACCTAAATCTGAAAAAGTAAAGTTTATATAGTCCTATTGTATGTAGATATGAATGTGTATACTTACTGGAACTTTTGCTCTGTATGTCAGTGAAATCTGATAAAAAGCTCAAAAATATTAGGCTTCTTGGAATATATATAAAAAAAAGATGGCTGGATCAAGACCCTACTACTATGGTCATTCTTTCTTTTTCATCTGCTTCTTTCTTGGAGGAAAGATTGCATCTTTCCTCAGCCCTTAACAGTGTGTCAGAAAGCCCACATGAAGAAAACACTGTGGGAGGAACTTCACACCAGAGAATTCAGTGGTAAGACATAGAACATTAGGAAATCTGGATTTATTAGTTCAGTTTATGAAAGTACTCAACCTTTTTATGGCATGTGCTTTTCGCCATTCATGACAGTCAGTATTGATTCTGGCTTGTGATTAATTAATATTCATCAAATGTAGAGCTCTTTAGGGATGTGGTGAAGTCTTTGGTACTTAATCCACTACATTTTCTTTTCCATTTACATTTCCCTCACCTTACTAGTTACACTTGTGGTTTTTTTGTTTCTTTTTGACCAGTCATTCCTGTCTCCATTTCCTTGGTTCTGTCCCATTCATCATTCCCAGTTTCTTCAGTTCTCTCTCCCCATGCTGTTTCTCTTTTGTGTGCTTTACTGACCTTTAAGTTGCTATTCTTGCCACGTTTCTCTGTTCTGATTCCTAGTCCCAGTTCTTCTCATCTTTCTTTCCCGCGCATTCCTCATTCAGAATCATTCTTTCCTCAAGAAATTTCTTTTCTTGAGTTTCCTCTGAGGATGCTTGCTCCAGCCATTTTGACACTGCAGTTTCAGAAGACTTCCAAGTATTCTTGTCGTCCTCTGTTTAAATTGACTGCTTTCTTCCTTCATGCTGCCTGGGCCTAATACAGGGCAACCTTCTCTTCCTTTTTCTTTTTTTTTTTCTAACTAGGCTGCACGTGGCATGGGCTTTAACAACTTGAAAGCAGGTGAATCATTCTGGCAAAATATATGTAACTGAAAAGTGTGTCTTACAGGCAGTCTCAGAAACAAGAAGTTCTAGGAACCAAGCCTAGGACAAACGAACAAACTGGAGCATTTTAGCATTGAGGAATTTATTTAATGCTTTTAAAAGGACTTGTCATGTGTGTCTGCAAAAATGGGGAAAGGCAAGGGAGCAAAGGAACAAGAATAAAACTGGGCTAAAACATACTTATACTCCCATGCAGATACTGCTGTTGTGCTGCTTAATGGTCCTGTTGTACTTATAGTATGGGTCAGATAGTGTGAACTTGGCATAGAATGATGATGTTAAAACTTGCTATTGATTTTTACTCTATTTGATGTTAAAGTGTAAAACCAACTCAGGTTGCTTTTGTTTGGAAAAGCTAAAAAATGCTAATGTGTGTTGCTTTGTGTTGTCTTTTATAAAAAACAGAGTCAAAAGCATCCTTCATGTTGGCATTATGCATGTATTGGAAAAGGTTGTGTATATGGTACAAATCCCCTTTATTTCACTTTTAAAAAATCTGTTCTCTCTCTCCAAAAGCTTTCCTCAGTTTACAGTGCTAAAGGATGGTGCCTCTACTTATTTTCTTAAGTCACTTGCGTATTGTTTATAAGGTGAGGAAAGCTTGATTTGCAGTATGCTGTGGTGTTAGTGTGACCATTTGCTTGCATAATGGTGTTGCTGACTTCCACTGTAAGTGCACTCATATTTAGAAATAAACGGTCCATCTGCAGTGTTGTATTTACTGTGACAGTTATCATAAAATGAGTGACAATTCACTTGCCAGCTTAGCTTTCTGTCCACCCACTCACAATGTCTGGAAGATCTTCAAATTAAATTAGTACACATGCTCCTCAAACAAAAGCTGTGAGAATGACCAGGGAAATAAACAGCATTTTTGTTCCCTCAAAATGTCAGGCATTCAAAGAAGTAGTCAAAACTTATATTGGATACTTTTTCCACTCTTTTTCTAGTCTTTTTCCAGACTGTTGTTCTAAATTGTTTTGTCCAAAGAACTCTGCAGGTCACTTATTTTTCACTGATGTGATGCTGTAAAGACACATTTGAGGTTCATTCCTTATAGCTTGTAGCCTCCTTAGGTCTTGAAATACTGAAAAGAAATTAACTCTAGAATAAATGTTGCCAAATAAGTAGCTTTTCAAGTGCAAATACAATCAAGTGCTCAACCTTTATCTTTTTTTTTTTTTTAATAAGATACTTGTGTTTTGAGTCAGTTGTGGGTTTTAGAGGAGAGGGAAAGGCCAGGGACACCTTTTCTCCTGATAACTTTTTAATTATGTTTTCAGCACTCCAGGCTGTAGTTTTTGATGGTTTGTGAGTGCTGTAATGTAAACACTGTAACGATACAGAAGAAGGTTCTGTATTTTGCAGTGTTCAAAGAATAAAGGTGTTGGATAAGTGGTGATGATGTACTCTTTCAGGGCTCATCTTTTAGCTTCACTCCAATTTGCCGTTCTTGTCAGCAAAATAAACATTATGACAAAGACATCAGCTATCATATTTCATTCCATAATGTCCTTGGTTCATGTGGATGTTGGTTATTTATGGCACTCTGCTGAGAACAGTAATAACACTTTTATTTTGTATTAGCTCTGAAAGCATGTAAGATCATGATTTTTCTCCTGTTAAATCAGGTTAATTCCCTCTTAATCACTTTGCGTCTCACAGGTGCAAGACCACAGATTTTAAACTGTTTAAAGTCAAGGAAAAATTATTCTGTAGATCAGATCGAGTGGAAATCTAATTCTTTCTTATCTCTGGGCCAGACCATTTCTTTGGAGAAAATGCACTGCTAGTAGAAAGAATTGCTGTTTCACACAACACATCTTACACAACAATCTCTTTTTATCAAGTACCTGCAAACTGATATTCTGACGTGCCTGTGTGCCTTTTATTGAGTGGCACCTGACTTTGCATGCAAAGCTGTCTCTGTGTCTTTTGGGTGGGAACAGAGTATTCTCAGTCAGCACACGAAAGCGAATCAAACACATTTCCTGCAACCTGGTAGGAGGTGGTGATGGTCTTACAAGGAACATGGGACAGTATAATTTTCAGTCTTTCCAGCATGTGCTACTGCAAAGTTGTATAAAATCTGGGCTTTAACAAGATAAACAGGGAAACTCCTTACTCACACATTTATTTATTTTATGTGTGAAGTTGGTTTAAATGATTCCTTGTACGATTCTTGGGCATGGATGCTGAAGCTGGTGAGGCCGTGTTTCATCCCCAGTTTCCAAATTCTTTTTTTGCCCCATATTCTTTTTTTGAAGAAAACTTATGTTTCAGTCCTTCAAACAACATTTTCTTTTGTAGAAATCCAGTGCGAAATTGCTGCAAAGCAGGGATGATTATACAGAGAGTAGTGCTGAATTCACGGCCTGGTATGTATTTCTCTCTGATAAAGAAGCCATTGTGTGTGTTATGGTTGCCTTATGCTCCAACATGGTGAGGGTAGAAACAGGCTCTAACATGAGATATTGGCATTTGTATGCCTTAATATTGCATGCAGCAATAAATAAAGTTTATGTGTAGGGGCTCAAAGGGAAGAAGATTAGCAAACAGAGCTTTTTAGTTCTGACATTTGTTCTTTTTACATTTTAAGAGATGACTAAAATATTTTGTTACTATTAATTTTTGCTTCTTTTAGTAAATGTTGGATCTTTTATTCCATGTTTCAAAGTGTTTATTTTTAAAATTTATAAGTTTATACTCTTGAGGGTTTGTTTACTTTCTTGCTTACACATTTACCGTGTTATGGATGTCAGCAGAATAGTCTGAATAGTGAATTCATAAATTTTCTGTTGTAGAACACATTAGGTTTTGCAGGGAGTACTGTATGCTGCTTAATGCCAAAATAGTCCTAAGCAGTAAGAATTATTGTTTGACCTGCAAATAAGTCTTTCAAAATGTTACAACAGTAGCCTGCTGGAGTTGTGCAGTCACTCTGACTTAAAATATGCAAGGGTGTCTGGCTGTCTCCTTTTAGTGCCAGTGGTTCCAGTTGTCAGTCTGATTGATCTGCTGCATGTGGTACCAACCCGAGGATGAAGGCTCCAGTTCTGGGGCTCTTGGCACAGTTTTACAGGTGTTTCTGGGAAGCTTTAATTTAAAGAGATCTGTCTGTATATGCAAAGGGATGCTCTTGAAGCATATGCATGTGCAGTGGCTGTGATCTGTATTCCCTCAATCCTGCTTGAGTCAAAAGAGGCAGAAAGGTGAGAGTTTAAAACTGGTTAAAATTTATGGTCATTTGCTATTGGCAGAATAGTGCATGATGATTTTGTTATGTGTGAGAAGTCCCAGTGCATATCTTAGTTTTGACCACTAGAGGCTTTTCAGCGTATAAGAGTATACAGAACCATTTTTAAGAATGGGAACAGTTCTTGATTTTATTTTTTTAAATTTGCCCTAATTGTTCATAACAATCATGTGTAGCAAACAGCATGGAAACTGAAAGTTGGTAGGTAGTTTTATACCTGAATAAATATATAACCTAACTTACTCTAAAAAGGACTACCTTGAAAAAAGGCCTTCCTGTATTGATTAAGGGAAGCTCTATATTGATTCATTTATTTGTTTGATTTTAAAATAATTCTAGGGAAGAATGGAGTGCCAGTGGCTGAAAACTTCCGACTAGAACAAAGTACAATAGCGGATACGGTCCAAGCAGGACAAGTGCGTGTTAAAACCCTCTATCTCTCTGTGGACCCTTACATGGTAGGTGATGGACTTAGGGCTAAGCCAGAATTTGTTTTATAATATACCTTCAACTCTGTACCTGTCATGATGTTTAACACTGAAGTTACTAATTACAGGACTCCAGTATATCTCTAGTATAACTTAATAATTGTATTCATTCTGATGGAGTTATGTTGGGAAGGAATTCGGCTTTAATGTGCCTTGGATATATGTAGAAATATGACTTTATAGAACCAGGAAGGGACTGTGAGCCCTGGTATATCATTACAGATTTGTCTGTATCAGCTTTTCCTTTAACCTTTAAAATTCTATAAGAATTTTGCCTTTCTTATATACATATTTTCCAATTCTATACAATTGTAAAAATCATGTGGTTGGGAGAGTCAGGGTTGAAATGAAAGTGAAGGTGGAAGAAGAACCAAAGAGACACAGTCTGTAAAAGTTTGCTATAAAGAGAATTCTGAGCATTTATTACCTGCATAGATGGAGATAGTAGAAAAGTCTACATTTCTGGAAAGTAGGTTTAGCTTGGGAGTTAAGAAAAAGTTTAATAATCCTGAAGTACTAACTTAGGCAACAGGGGGAGATGTAAAGAAAATACTTCTGATTTCAAGATGTTTCATTAAACAGATCTCTGTCGAGGATGGTCTACATATGTTTGACTGCCCTTCAGTGCATAGGCACGGACTAAGTGATTTGTGGGTGTTTTTTTCAATCCTGCATTTCTAAGATTCAATCAGTTAAAGAATGGAATTTGTAGTATTCTTGTCAGATCTGAGCCAGTCATCTTTGGTTGCATGGGTGCCTTTGAGGCAACATCTATAGAATGTGTTGGCTTTGGTAACACTGCCGGAGGAGATCAGAATGGTCCATCCTCCCTTTGTACTGAGCAAACAAGGGGAAAGATAAGACAAGATTATGAATATTTGGGGCTTATTGAGAGATTTTTGAGGAGCCCTTTGTGTTTGAAGTTTTAAACACATCTCCTCAAGTTAAAGCCTTGTCTTTCAGCGCTGCCGAATGAATGAGGACACTGGCTCCGATTACCTCCAGCCCTGGCAGCTCTCTGAAGTTGCTGATGGTGGCGGTGTTGGGGTTGTGGAGGAGAGCAAACATGATAACCTCGCTGAAGGAGACTTTGTAACTTCCTTCACCTGGCCCTGGCAGACAGTGGCGATTCTCGATGGAAGCTTGCTACAAAAGGTAATGTAAATGCAAAGCCCGGATTGTCTTTTACTATTTCTTTTACTAAACCTTTTTTTTTTTTTTCTAAATAACTGCTGATACTACTAGTGTTAACTACCGTTAATGATACTATTTTTTAGTCAAAAACAAGCCAACGTTATTCGAACAACTAGTTTTCAAAAGGCAGATCCAGTCATAGGTGCCAAAATCTGTATCAATTTCTCTTTTTTCATAGCAAAGAAAAATTTAGATGCTTTTGTTGGTTAGCAGGCACGCCAGTATTATTTCAGTTGTTGTTTTTTTAATAAATTTGCCTGAAACTCCTTCTGTTAATTAATTCTGATAATTATTCTAATTCTAGTAGAACTGATCCATGAGAGTGTAGTTGTAAGACATGAAAAGCTTTCGACATGTTTAATTTAATTTATTTCACTAATATATGTTAGTAAAAACTTTTACTTGAGATTTTACATCCACAGAAGAAAGGGTATTCAATATTAAGTTGAAAGTGGAGAGGGAACAGTGCACTAGATATATTGTGTTGCTCGTTCTCTTGTAACACAGAAAATGACTGTAGTTAGAGAATTTATACTTTCCAATAAACTCCTCCCTTTAGGACCCTTTGCCACTGATCTGCAATCACAATATTTGATAAAATGGTGAATTTTCATTCCTTATAGGGATTGTTCACTTACTGGAAACTTCTTGTCTCCCAACTGCTTTTTGACACTTTCATAATTTAAGTTTTTGTGAGTGGCTTTGTTTAAAAACTTTTTCTAAAACTATGGAAATATAAAGTTTTTATATGAACTTGTTGTTAGGATAGAGCTAGTCTAGAGATAGCTCCTCCCTACCAGTTGTGCCTTGCCTGGAAAATATCCTGAGTTAGTCTTCTATCCTCAGGCAATCAAACAGCAAAATCTTACCTTAAAACCAAATGAAGACCACACACGTTTCTGTTTTGTAGCTTGTTCCACAGCTTGTAAATGGACGCCTTTCCTACTTTCTCGGTGCAGCTGGGATCACGGGACTGACGGCCCTGTTGGGTATCAGGGAGAAGGGACACGTGGCTGTGGGTGCAAATCAGACAATGGTGGTGAGCGGAGCAGCCGGTGCTTGCGGCTCTTTGGCTGGCCAGGTAGGATGGGCTTAAGACACATGAACATACTCTGTGACCGAGTTTTGTCTTCTGGAACATGCTGAAACATGCTGGTTACTAAACACGTGGATAAAATCATTGTAAACGTGAGTAGGTATAACCACATGGGAAGAGCCAGTTTCACAGATTTGGCACACACTCTCACTGGGAAAGATTTTAGATGTGAAACTAAGTGTCATGAAACTGGGATAGGAGAGAGCAGCCCATGGTGATTACTTGTTGCTAGCATAAGTAAAGTAGATGGTGTAAATACCTGTATTTATATATATTTATATAGTAGCCTGCCACCTCAACACTGTCTTTGTATTGACTAGAGACTTTAATTTTTCTTCTGTGGTCAGTAGAAAAAAATGTGGTAAACCCTTCTTTGTGCTGTGTTCTGTGACATTCTTTGTGTTTTGAGGTTTGCAGCCGTTTTGTCCTCCTCGGTTTCCTTTGCACACTGTTGCAGTGTGTATATGTATATCTACAAATATATATATATAATACATACTCATATATACACAAACACAATAGCTGTTAAGCAAGCTTTAGACTTACTAATAGAGAGAAGCTACGAAGAAACAATGCATAAGCAAATGGATGAAGAATGTATTTACATCCATTATTGTCTAATTTTTTTTCCCTTTTTTTAGCTAAGTTATGTTACTTAGCAGATGTAATTGTATACTATATTTGGTTCTCAAGTACTGCCAGTCATTGGTGACTCCACAAATTAAATCTTCTGCAGTCAGTGAGTTATGGAAAGATGGCAAATTGTACCTGCCCCTTATCTAGGTGTGAGGAGGGAGTGACAAGAGGCAGTTGTGTCACATGGGATGGGAGCATGCACTGGACTTCGCTGCCTGCGGTTTAGTGGATGGGGGATAACTGTAACACTCTCTAAGGTCCCCTTTCATCCACTGGTACCTGTATGCAGATGAATGACATGTCTTTATAGTTTGAGGTTTTCAGTTGGTTTGTTGTTATTTTTTTCTTTAACTGTGTGCCCGCAGATTGGCCGTCTGGAGGGCTGCTCTAGAGTGGTGGGAATCGCTGGCACAGATGAAAAGTGCTCCATTTTGGTCCAAGAAATGGGGTTTGATGCTGCTATCAATTACAAGAAGGGAAATGTGGCAGAACAGCTACGTGAACTCTGCCCAGGCGGTGTGGATGTTTACTTTGACAATGTTGGTGGAGACATCAGTGATACGGTTATAAGTCAGGTGATTATTCCAGCTGTCAGGCTTATTCTAGTTATTCTGCAGTGTCTGCATGCCCAACTTTGAATTAATTCATACTAGAGTCCATCCTGTAATACAGCAGAGCAGGTTTTCCACTTCAGTGATCTAATCCAGGTGCCGATCCTGGTCTTGAGGAGAAATCAGATATTTGAAATCAGTATCTGTCATTTGGACTAACCTGGCAGTACAGTAATTGAAACACGATTTCTGCTTCTTGTCTCTCACATCTTAGGCCAGGAGACTTGGTAATATTCTATAAAAATTTTGTCTATCAGCACAGTAATCTTGTCTTTTGCCAGCTTTCGTTTTCTGGCTTGATGCAAGACTAGTTCTGCAGGGCCTCCATAAAGGCTTCATTGTTAACATACAACCATTCTGTGTCGTGACAGGGAGGCTTCGGTGGCAATGCCATCTTTGGGAGTTCTAAATCACAGCTGTATCCAACAGCTGTATTAAATTTCTCTGTCCTATTATCCCTCTTCTGAAAAAAGGGCACACAGTAAGATAACAATTTCTCATATTCCTTTTATTTAGTGCCTTTTAAAATTACAGTAGGCTGTATAGCATTTATTTTTCCACTGTTGCCTTACATTTACCTATTTGAGTGCTGTCATAGGTTGAATGAGACTGCATGCAATTTTCCCACTCTTTTACAGGAAGTGTGGCTCATGTGAAAGTTTTGCAATATAATCTATTGCATCTCTGAAAAATTTAGTTTTTGAGACAGAGGAATGTAATTTTTCCCACTTTGTGCTGTCCCAAACAGATGAATCAGAACAGCCATATCATCCTGTGTGGACAGATTTCTCAATATAACAAAGATGTGCCTTATCCTCCTCCACTGCCTCCTGACATAGAAAAAATACAGAAAGAAAGGAACATCACAAGGTACATTTCTCCTCCAGAACTAATGACCAGATTCCAGGTCGACTGCACATGTGTTGTTGTGACTCTGATGTTTGGAAGGTAGTCTGTAGATTCTCAATAGACATGTGTAATCTGAGCAGTGTTGCCATGCCTAAAAAGGAAACTGTAATCACAATGTCAGTAAATCCCTTCTCTTACATTTATCTTTATCAGCGTAAAAAATGGGAAGTGATGTCTTTACACATGCTCATACGTATCTATTGTTACACTACTTTTTTTGTGACAGATACATGTAGTCCTGGAATTTCTAATAGATTCTTTAGTACAAGAGAAGGTGTTGCTGTGGTTCTGTTCTCCAATGTGCCTTCTCAGAGTGCCTTCTCTCAAAGTGTAGTAATTCAGGCAGAGAGAAAATCAAATATTTTTGAAGTAAGGATGCAGCTGATGCAGTTGATTTTATTGAAATTACATATTTAGTATTTGGAGGTTTTTTTATATAATGGGACTGTAGGTGTGACATATACAGGTAAAACAGTTTTGCTGTGACTCTGGGAATTGCTGAATCTCCTATCAGGATTCAGATGCAGCCAAAGTAGAGATTGGGAGCAGAGTCTTAGGAGAGTTTTCGGTCATTGCATTGCAGAAAGTTGGGGAGACTTTTGATTTCTGTGCAAATGGATTGACCTCTTCTAATTAGAATTCTTTTCTTGTCCCTGTTACTCTTGTCTGCATTTCAAAAAAATGGATAAAATTAGTAGAATACAGTGCAGAATTCAGTCAGTATGTTGCTACAAGTAATTATGATTTTTGATGATCATTTCAGTTTCTTGATTGCTATAGAAAGCTGTGACAGCAGGATATGCAAAATTTTGAGTAGCCTGAAGTTAATTTATAGTCACCATCTAATTGCAGCCCCATTAATTATTCTCTCTACTACCAAAAAAAAGGTAAAAAATAATAGGAATTTGCTTACATTTTATGGACATTTGCTTATTCTGGTGATATCAGTTTTATTACTCTTATCTCTGATACTTGAACAGAATTACTTTCTAAGACAGACGTTTCTGTCAAGTTCCCACTGCAGGGAGCTGTCACAACAAGCTGGCAAAGGTCTGAGCTACATCTCATTGTAATTTGTACTCATAACCCTTCAGTTTCAACAATGCTGTTTCCTGAAAATTTTTTGTAAATATTTTAAAATGTTTACCAGTGTTTCTTAAATCAAAACTCATTCTTTTCTTTCACAGGGAAAGATTCTTAGTGTTGAACTATATGGACAAACATGAAGCTAGTATATTACAACTCTGCCAGTGGATCCAAGAGGGTAAACTGAAGGTGAGAACTTTTAGGTTTGATCTATGGCCTCTGATACTATGTCCTCAGATCATGGTCTGACTAAAAGAAGACCAATTTCTTTGTCCCTGCTCTCTTACTGTGCTCAGAATTGGACAGACTTTCTTAAGAATGTGTAAGTATGATTGAAAGCTTATAAGATAGCACTGTTTTAGAAGGTACCTGTGAGGATGGTCTGACTAATATGACAGACTTCTCTAATTACATGCTGCTCATGTCTTTATTTCAGTTTTCTTTATTTCAGTATAGGGTGCACTTTTTACTTAAAGGATCAGGCCTTCAAAAATATGACTTTCAAATATCTGATCAGTTAAGTGTCCAGAATGCTTCTGAGGATCTTGTCTGAAATTTTATTTCAAGCTTTATAATCATCATTTATTATTTTATGATAGGTATATGCTTAATCTATACCTTCAGACAGAGGTCTGTCTGAATTAGTTTTTGTTTCTTCTAGTGATCAGTAAATTTTCCTGGGAAAATCCTGAGATGTGAAATTTTGGCAGAGGCAGGGATCTAATTATGAAGAATTAAATCACCTGCACACTTCTGAGAAGATATCCATGTCTCTCTTGATGAAAGAGTCTGGTCCTAACAGAGCACTGTCCATTGTAGCAAGAGAAATCTAGATTTTGGTAGTTTCTGTGGCAGTTTCTTGGGATGTTTCTAAGAAATGTGAAATGCTAATCTTGTTTGAAAGAAACTAAAAGGACTTGTTTGCACTGACAGGTCAGAGAGACCATGGTAGAAGGCTTAGCAAACATTGGTGGTAAGATTTTTACATCATTTTCTAAGAATAATAATAAGCTTATTAAATACAATGACATTAGAGGTTAACTACCTCCTTTGTTTTATTTGGCAATTCAGATTTTTGTATTTTTCAAAACCATGATTTTTGTTATAATAAAATATTTTTAATGAGGTATTAGAGTGTTCTGTAAGAAAATTAATTTACATTTATAAAATCACTGAATATAAATTGAGATTTTTTTTTTTAGGCTGCTACCTTAGCAGCTGATGATAGTCATCCTGATCTTACTGGTTTAAAGTGCTGCCTGTTTCTTAGAACTTGTGTGTAAGAAAATGCTATTTTGACAACTTTGAAATTATAGTTTAAAAAAGCCCAATATCTAACAGAGGTTGTTATTGGATTTGCTAACAAAAAATAAAATGAAATGACCCCAAGAAAGGGCAAAGCATATTAGAGATTGCTAAAGAAAGTAAATTTTTTTTAACAGAACAAAATATCATGTAGCCTGTTCAAAATATTGTAACAAAGGAAATATAAAAATAAAGGAGGTCTTGTGACATGAGCCATGTGATCAAAGATGTACTGTAAGAATGCTTCCCTGTCAAGTAAGGGGAAAGAGTATGATTTAGTCCATTTAGTCTTTAGTCCCACAAGATTGGAACTCATAGAATTAAGCAATAACCAAATCTTGGAGATTCCAATTTATTCTAGTCATTGCTAATTGCTGCTTACTGGTATACATATGTATTTTGAAGGAATTTGGTCAAATACAGCAGTCATATTTCATACTTTCATATTTTGTCTCAAGGTATATTCTTTTATACCAGCTTCTCACACTATTATACAATATTTATAAGCCTTTTCTCTCACAAAGGCTTGTAAAACCCACAGCATTTGGGGGCTCTCCACTCATGCCTTGTCTCTCTTTGATGTTTGCATGACGTATTACAACAGCAGCAAATGTAATCGTTAATTTGTATAGGGTCAAACAGTTGCTTATAAACCAGATTTTTTTAATTATGACACAAAGCTACCCCAAAATGGGATCTCTCCTTTTTAGGGAGCTGTTTAATACATTTGCTTCTACCATTTTTGATTTCTTTTTTAAAGGTTACTTGGCACTAACTTATTTCATTACTTCTCTTGAAGCTGCTTTCCAGTCCATGATGAGTGGAGGCAATATCGGAAAACAGATCGTCTCAGTTTCTAAGTAAAAGTCACTGGTTTGAGAAAAATAATTGCACTCTGTCTCTAATGGTGAGGAAGCTTTTACTTATACCAATTTCCATTTTTTAAATAAACCATCAAGTTGTTCTGTGTGAATTGAAAGCAGAGATTTTGGGATGCTAATAAACTAAATAGAACTGCAAACAGGAATGCAATCATTTATACTCAAAATGAGTAATACATTCTTTGAGGTGGTTTTGACAGTTGCCAGCTATAACCCTTGCACGTAATTCATGGGTATGGTTTAAAAGTTAGAAAATCCCAGTGTTGTCCCAAACACAGGCTCATCACCTGGTCTGTGTATGATGGCACTTCACACACCGAGGCGGTAACCCTCAAAGGGCTGGCTCACCGTCATCAAAACTTTACACTATTTACACGTGTTTAGCAATCAGCATTCATGGGTTACAATTTACGTGGCTTTTTCATTAGTTAGTGCTCAAACCCTTATTTGCTGGTTGTATCTCTTGCTTCCCATGCTAATTATTCTGCACGTGCAGTTCTTCCCTCCGTTCCAGTCGGGGTCCGTTTTGAGTAGATGGTTAATGGGCTGGTGGTCACCATCTCACCTGCTGGAATTACCTTCCTCCAGTTACTGCTCAGTCCTGCTGACTTCACTCCTGGTGGCTCTCATCCAGACAGCCCATTCATTTTGGGATTGTGTTCCGTTTCCCTTAAAACAAAGGATTAGCCAAGATACAAGTTTTACTATTCAATTGCTTAGTCATATCTGCCTAGCTATAGCTACTGATTAACAACAAAAAAATTGCAAAGTTTGGTTCAAATCTTGAGGGACTAGATATCACTAGGAACAGTTTCCAGTAAGTAATTTGTATACAGCCACCTAGTTTTGGTTTTAGAAGAATTTACTAGTGTAGATGTGCACCATTCCCATGCTAGAATGTCTCAGTGCCCAAGAACTTCTCTAGGAATTTTTAATTTACTAGTGTAAGTTTTCCCTGACAGTTCAACCAATTCAGCTAATCATTTTAGAACATAACTATTCTTATTTTTTCCAGATAATTGCAATAAAAATTTCATTTCTAGAATGCAAAGTCTCTAATAACAAAGGTATTTCCATTTTGCCATCTGAAGCAAATTTCCACCAATCTGTCTTATCCATTCTCTGTATTGTGTCATTATATCCTCTGTTTTCAGAGCCCTTGAAACCTAATTCAATTACAATTCCCTCTGCATGCAACCTGAGACCTTAATCAGATAGTTCAGGTGTAGGGTGATCCTTATTTACTCTTTTCAATCTTTGCATTCCAGACTTAAATGAAGTTTTCTTTTTAGAATTCCTTTTCTAAATTCCACTGTATCTTATATTTATTATAATCTCCTGATTTTCATTAGTTTTACTGTTGTTTTCACTTCTCCAAGGTAACAGACAGAGAATCTCAAAACAGGCTGCCTAATGACAGAGGTAATGTTGCAGACACTTGATTTTCTGTTCTCTCAGTAACTTCTCTTGGCTCTGAATTTTTAGTCTAACAATGCTCTTTTACCATCTCAGTGGGGAAACTTGAAAAATGAGCAGTCAGCTGAACTGTCCACAGAATGGGTTATGCATTGTCACTACCCAGGTCAAACTAAGTGGAATCCATGGACTGGGAAAGAAACACTGCAAGAAAATAATTTTGTGTGCTGTGGAAAGTAAGGGTATCAGAATTGCCTAATATTGTTGTGAGCAATATGAAAACTAGTCCTTTCATTTCCTAGTGCCTAAGCTGGCCCTGAAAGAAGGAAGCATGCAGTGATGGATGCCATAAACTTTGAGGAGAAGAGACCTGCAGTATAGCATTAGATTGTCTAAAATAATAATAAATACCTGTATATTTCAGAAGAAATTTCAACTATGAACTGTGGTGAATTTCTATTGTATGAATGTAAGAAAACAATCATAACAATAAGCATTGTTATGCATTTTTCAACTACTAAACTAGGGGACTGGTTCACTTTCAGCTGGATTGTGAATCCAGTTTGTGTCCCTAAAAGTGAGATCATCACCCAGTATGCAGTAAGCCAATCTCACATACAGAGCCAAGATCTTTGTTTTTTCATGTCTGTGGAGAGATGAGTGCTGGGTGGCAAATCCAGCAAGCCAGCACACCCTCACTCTGACAGGTGCTCGTTTTTATACACTTGGAACAATAACAAAATTGTCATGTCCTGTATAGGCAACCACCTAAAGCTGTAGTCACTGACTTTGCTTTTCCTTGTCTCCATTTAAAGATACAGTGCACTGTTATTTTACCTTGCATGCTCTATCAGGAAAAGGCTTATGTGAATAAGGGGTGATCTTAGCCTGTGAGCAGGTATTTTACTATATTAATGAGCACGAAGTTCTGATAAAGTTGTTCCTTGGCTTTGTAGTTTGATTTATACTGTTCTTACTTTTCCAGTCACGATTCTTGGTTTCTGTAAGTTTGGTTATTCCCTCGTTTTTCATAAGTTTTTTTTCCTGTCCTGTAGTACAATGAATTTTTAACCTTCTCATGGTACTTTTTCAAGAACACTGGAATAGAAGCCAAAATTTTTATACAGTAACTTCAGTATGTTGTCATAGTTGGCAAATGAAAGACAGAAAGCAAGAGGTGAGCAAAATTCTATGAATTCCTACATATTGACTGTTTATAGATGAATAACTCAGTTGTGAAAGTTAAGCAGTGCAGGCTTGTATGACTTGGTAATTGATGTGTATATTAGAATCAGAGGCAGCAAGAAATGCAGTGATCCTGAGCACTGTGTCTAGACTTGGATTCCTGTCAACTGGATTTAATGAGGAGAGTGCTGCTGGGAATACAGCCTTTCCAAACAGCGTCCCCAGTGAGTGTGCTGATGTGCCCATTGTCCCCTTTCCTTTCTTTATTTGCTCCTACATGCATATGCCTGATAGGAACATTGAGGTTGAAACAGCATCACCATCACTCTATGCACCCTGTGTTCTGCATTCAGTTTCTGCCAGGCAGATTAGCCTTAATGCACTCTAACACATTTAATCTTTCTGAATAAGTCTCCTCATCCTTATAGTTCATTCTTAGAGCAAATATGTAAATGCAAAACAAAATAGCCCACTCCAAATATATGACCAGTCATTAACACTCCGCATGACCAACCATAACACACACACACACACACACACACACTGCAGAAAATCTGGCTTTAACCTGAGGCTCCATTGCTGCTGCTTCTGAAAATTGTTATTGATGCAAAAATATTTTTACAAATGAGAATACTGGGTGCTTTTTGGGGCATGGTGTCACCATGGTGTTTTCCTATTTTCTTCTACCCTTGAAGGCTAACCCACATAAAACTTGCAATGTCCTATAACATGCATTTCCCTATATATGGCATCCTCCAATCTATCAATTTGATTTCCATTTCAACAGTCTGTTTTGAGAGAAATGTCTTTTATTCTTAAAACTGAGGACTGTTCTCTTTTATTCCAGCCTGCTTGGAAGGAAGTATACATAGGATAGTATTCAGAGCAAGCTAATTAAATACCTGTATATTTCAAAAGAGACTTCGGCTATGAACTGTGGTGAGTTTGTGTTGTCTGAATGTAAGAAAGCAATCATAGTAATAACCACTACTAAACAGGTGTTAAAATGTTAATTTTCTTTCACATGTTATGGGTGAAAGGCTCAGTTTAATATATTTATGTTTCCGGAGTTGCATTTGTTTGTCCAAAGTACAAATTTTATTCTTTTCAACCGTATTTGCTGAAGAGCTAGTCCAGAGTGAGCTCGTCTCTGGCACTGTGAGTTGACACACCTTCCAGAAGTAATCATCCTCTAGGAAGTTATTTTTCACAACTGAAACAAACTGTGATAAAATGATAACATTCCCAGCAGTATTATTTTTACAGCAATTGCTTAGTAATCCACACAAGTCATAAATCTATTAAGAGTTGTGATGTGAGGGGTGATCCAGAGTGAGATCATGCTGAGGTATTGATTCTTTACTGTAATAAAGGCAGCCTGATTGCAGCAGCATTCCTGGAGTTAGGTAAGCTATGGAGGGCAATACAAGTTCTAGGAGCATTAGTCAAGTGCCTTTGGGAAAAAAAAAAAAAGATGGGGACAGTCAAAGTAAACTTCATCCTGATACCCCCAATGTTTAGGATTCTCACGGAAGTATTTCTTTACCTGTGAATCCTGGTTCATGTTACCTCCTAAGAACAAACAAAAACCAAAGAGAGAAGATTCTTTAAACCAAGTGCCCACAGTTATAAAAAATATTTTTTTCACCTTAATTTCTCAATTATTGTAATAGTGTGGCTCTTCATCTGTCATATATTTTGTACTGTGAGAGGTGTCATTTAACAAAGGGTAACAGATAACTGGTAACAAAAATCCAGTATGCTTTGGATGTAGTAGATAGTTAATCACTGGCTCCAGAAGCACCAGTATTTGTAGAGTAGGAGTTGTGTGACAGTTGTCCCTAAAGTAGGGTTATTTCATCTGGTGTGCAAGAGCCAATCAATACACTGAGTCGAGATATTTGATTTTATTGCCATACTGTAGAATAGGATGCTGGGTGTCTAACACTGTTGTCCCTGAAAAGTGGAATCTTTCACCTGGTGTGCAAAGCCAGTAGATATACAAGGTTGAAGGGGGTGCTAGGTGGTAACCCCCAAAGATAGCACATCAAAGGCCAAAAAATACAAGCATATGTATACAGTTCTGTTGAGGCAATATGGACATGATGAATCAGCACCATTATTTGGCTAAGCTGCATTTGGCTTAAATTTCTCTCACCTTGATTTAAAGGTGCATTCTAAATTCATTGTGCAAGTTCACTGGGTAGGGGTTTTCACAGGCGGAGAGCCTCAGCTTCAGAGGTGTGGTTTTCACATTATAACCTGCTAAGTTCATCCAGAGGACACAATTTCTGAAGTTAGTTGTAACATTTTTAACCCCCAACCTTCAGAGGCTTGTTTGGGCTGGTGTAATTGTTGCTGGGTCTAGGAGCTCTCTAAGTGCAGACACATAGTCTAGTTTAGAAAGGAGACATTGTTATATTTTTACTATTTATACATTTTAGCAAACAAACGAATTAGTGTCCATTTGCTACAACCTGCATAGTCTCTTATTAATTATTTCTCTACCTTCTATTAATGATTCCCTTGCTTCTCATGGTAATTAGTCTGTATGCTTAGTCATTCTTTTGAGTTGGTGGGTTTCTTAGGTTGGTGGTCCGTGAGTCAGTGGTCACGATCTCCCCCTGCCAGAATTACCTTTTACCCAGTCAGAGCCGATTTCAGCACAGTTGCTGAGTTGGCTTAATTAGTTTCTTCCTTATCTTGGGGGTTCTGCATGTCCTCATGGCCCATAAATTCCCCATTCTTCATGTCCACCATCAGTGGCACATCCTTCTTCCCAAGCTTTGTTAACCTCCCACTGTGTCTGAGATCTTTCAAGCATGCCGAGCCCTAAACTGTCAAGGCCAACAAGTAATTTGTCTTTCTAGCACCTGGACATCGCTTAGAGCTGGCTTGTTCGCTGCTGATTCATGGATTAAATCTTCTTTCTTGTTGATTTGGTGTGAAAGTATAGAAAAGATTAAACATCAAAGACCATCTTTTCTTAAGAAAATTTTCATGTATCTCACATTTTGTACCAATAAGGCAGGACTCTGTGTCATAACCCCCTTCTCATTCCCTGTAACTCTCTGGGCAAATTGTTAACTATTTCTTATTTATGTTATGCATTTCACAGCATCTTGGATGTAATTCACCAATGAACAGAATAATTCCTTCATAAGCAAACAGCAACATGAAAAATTACACATACTTTTTCTAAGGGACTTGAAAACAAAAAAGACAACCAAATGCATTTGGAAGACACTGTCGGATTTTTTTTTTCTTTCCAAATAATAATTTCAAGTGTACTTTTAGGTAGTTTAAAATGGGAATTAACTACTTTAAATGAGCTCCTCCATGCAGACTAGAAAACCCAACCAAAGCAACCCTAGAGTATTGTAATAGAAGCTTTTATACTATGAAAGATTGATTTGTCACAGATCATACTCATGTCCCCCAGCAGTATGTACAGTACTTACTTCAGCAGTCTGGTTGCACGATCTGTCATGTGCTTTGCTCTCATCACGTAGCTCTGATTTGTCCAATAAAGAGCTTGTAAGGGACTCTTGACTTCAACAGACCTCTGTATTCTCATGCTTACCCTGAAACATCAATACTATTTTAAACAAAAGAAAATTATATGCCAGAAATAATGAATGCCAAAGGCATTTGCTTCTCTTCAAATAGAAAAATCAATAAATATTTTTATCCACTACTCATCCATAAACTGGAAAAAAAAATGCCTTAAATCATGTAACACAGTGAGATCTTACACTGATGCTGACTGATGTAAATGCTAAGATACATTACAGCCAATATTGTGTTATCTTCTCAGTAAAAATGCAGCCTTTCAGAGAGCAGAAGGGCTTTATTTGAAAGAAGACCAAACCCAGGCAATTCATCAGGACAGCCCAGGATCTGTTATCACTGGAATGTCTTGTTTCAGTCTGCTATGTTGGTTTGTGCCTTCTGGGCACCACAGGCCAACAGAGGAGCAAATCCAATTTTCTTTAAAGGGTGGATCCCAGATTTATCATAATTTATGTATTTATCTGCATAGTTTGTCCAGTTACTAGTAGTTCTTTAAGTGAGTGGTGATTCTAGGAGATGGCTTACATTTTACAAACCCCATTTATTTTGTTTGAATTTGAAGGGAAAACATCCTGTGTTGTGCATTTAGTTACTTATAGTTAACTTGGGCAACCACTTGCCTACATGATAGGGACTGCTGAATTAGAAGCACAGACTAGAGGTTAGCCTCTAATAACTGAGATATAAAGAATTAAGAAACTTCAAAGACAGTATTGGTAAATAAAATATTCCTGTGTTAAAGTGTACAGCTCAAGTAGGAAAGTTAGGATTTTCCTACTAAAGTTTTAGAATATTGGAAAACTGTTTAAGAAGGAGAAAATCTGAATTAACATGAGACAAAATAAGTTTTACTTGTCTTTTAGGCAACAAAAAGCTGCAATAGCTGTGTCTGTAGAGCATGAGGTCAGAGATGATTCCTGTGTAGGGTAAAGCTCTAAGCTTCTACAGTGTGCTCTTCACTGTGACAGCAGGACAGTAGGAGAGCCCCTTCCTCTCAAAATTTATTACATTATTCTCACATACATATATAATTCACACATCAACCACATTAGGAGCATGTGATTCTTCTTTGGGTTGCTGGAGCCAGGGATAATGCATCTACAAACAAAATATCTTTGCTCGCCACACTAAGAATAGCACTGAGAGCTCTTTAACAGAGTTCCATCCATCTACCAAACACAGCCCACAGAGCCAAAAAGTAAGTATTTGACAGACTGTAAGATTTTTAAGTCTATAGACATATGATTGCATTGAGATTTGTTTATGTTGCAGTTGACTGTTAACACCACCAAAAAAAAAAGTCTCACTTCAGAACACAGTCTTGTCACAGGGTAGAAATATGAAGTATTTTATTGCCAGTTCTTATGCTCCCTTATCACATAAAAGTAATTGTGAAATGTCATTATTAATTTTTCAGTAGCATTTCTCACAAATACATTTTGTGCCCTGCCTCTGATTTTCTAACAGCTTTGCAAAACAAACTTATGTAGCAACAAATGACATTCTGTATTGTCTTAACAGTGTATTTAACTTATGCAAATGAGAGCTCTATTACAATCATCAGTCACTGAAGAACACAAATTAAAGAGTAGGAAAACTGTCATCTTTTAGAAATAACAAAAAGTCTTTGTTGTAGTCAACATTTTCTTCCAATTCAGTTTATTTTCCTATGTTCTACTACAGTCACAGGTGCCCTAAATAAGTTACCTCTCCTTTTTCTTTTGAGGAGCCATAAATAAATTACTGTAAAATTACCTGAAGTATTTTAAATGTTCTACTCACAGCAGTCTTCTGTAAAGCAACCCAGTGTTTTCCTTTACAAATCAAGGCACCTTGGCTCACTTGGCTCTGGATCCTTGCATTCTTCATAAATACAACTAATTGTACTATCATTTTTGGACTTCAAAAAAAGTGAAAACAAAAAAAGGAGTTCCCTTAGGTCACTCTTCAGTGCATTTGACTGAGACTCAGAAACACAGGCCTGACCTGCTCAGTTACAGACATTGTAGGCACCAGACCACATAATTCCTCCAGGATCTCCCATCCTGAGGACATAGTCTCCCTTGCTCTGACGTTGAACTCTGACTACAGGTGAAAATCCCAGCAACATTGATCTTTCACTGTCTTTTCACTGGTCAGCTGTGGGAGAATTGGAAACAAGAGCAATAGTCCACAGCTCAGGTAAACATGACCACAAACACACATATACACACCTAACAGCCTATAATCTGCTTGTATATAGCATTATGCACTGAAAGTGTATAAGCATAGGACTCTTACTGTGAAGGCCACCATAGCACCTCTGCAACCACTATTACTTCATAAAGACATCTGGTCTAGTCTTGTAGTTACTCTTGTAAAAATCTTGTAAATCTTGAAATAAAAATCAAAGTTAAGCAAAAATCCTGAAGCTCATTATCAAGATTTATGCTCACTTTTCCCAGCATTATAAAAATAAAAAACTTAATAAATCAAAAATATTTTTCCATTCACAGTTATAGACAAACATGTCCAGACATATCCATGTTCTGTATCACAAAGAACCCACTATTATACATTTGACTGAATGTGTAACTGTATTGTATAACATATATTATACAGTATATGGTATAATACAAGAAAACTATGTACTACATCTTGTTGTACATTTACTATTTAATACAGTTCTGTAGCAGTGCAGGTGCAACTTCAGATCTTACTACCTAATGGTACTACTCAACCTAATGGTTGAGCTGCATGGAACTCCAGCATCACAAAACGATAGGTTGTACCTCGACAGTTTTTAAGACAAAGAATTTGGAATAATTATACTGTACTTCAGGAGCTCTGACAGTTTTTCATTTCTACTATGTAAGTTCTGAGCTCAGATGATTTCAGTGTCCAGGTTTTATAAATGAGAGCTGAGGTCAGTGCCACCAGCCACATTCTCATTGGGGAGAGGAAGAAAGCCAAGGTCCCATAGGTTCGTTGTAGGAAGTAGCAGGAATAGACCTGCCAGGCCAGGAGGAGTGCCATTGCCAGGTGAACAAGCACAGCCGTGAGGCGTCGGACGTGACGGATGTGAGAGCGGAAGCTGTGACCCCGGCATCGCAAAAACAGGCACCAGCACAGATAGGCCATTAACGGCAGGTTGAAAAACAACATCTGAAAAAAAGAGCAGAGAAAACTATGACAATAAGCCAGACAGGTGTTCTGGGTAGCATATGAAGGCATACAAAGATATAAGCGCATAAAACTGTCCCGTTCTAAGGGTTGAGTACGATTTCCAGAAATGGAACCTCAGGATGCACTTCAAGACTCTGCAGCTGATAGAGCTGATAGTGCCTGTGCCTCAGTCTCAGGCCAAGCATTCTTGTCCACTCCCTTGCAATGAGAGGCACTGAAGTGCATCTGACCTCTCTTGGAGCTGATTCAGGGAGACAGACTTGGCAAAAGCTACTATGGTAAAAATGGAGGATCATTATATCAGTTCAACTCTCTGACCCAGCCCGCTGTGGTGTCAGACAAGTCCTAGCACTGGTATAAGGGAGGGAATATGAAGGAGGAGGCAACACTGGCTTGGTCAGGCTTAAATGCCAAGGAACTACACCCTCTTTCAGATGAATGGCAGCTGGGGAAACCACTGCTGGGAAAACTGGACTTGTGTGCTTGGAGAGCGACACCTACTGATCTGAAGAGTTATTCAGGGTGCAAGGGCTGCCCTGGCCACTCAGTTTATTTTGCTTCGTCACTGCAACCTGTGTGTGAGCCGAGGACAAAACCAGAAAATTTAGAGAAGTGAATCTATAGAGATGGCCTCTAATCCAGACATCCAGGGAGTCCAAAGCAACATCAAATAGGGGAAAAGAGAAGTTGAAGAAAATAATGCTCAACCTCCTTTGTTTCTGCCCTTTAAATTTGCAGAAAGTTAAGAAAGATCTGTTATAGTCAGGCATGGCCATTAATCTCCTCTGTCCTTCCAAGACTCCTTTCTTTATAAAACTATTAAAAAAAATTGGGAAAACAAATCCCAGAAAAAAGCAATTTGTTAGCTTGAATTTTTATAAATACGTACCTGTAAAATCCCAACCACAAATGTCACACTGCCCTGTAAGAAGGAACCACCAACGAACACCCCAAAGGAAAAACAGGCCCCCCACTGGCCATCTATCAGTTCACCTACAAACCACGGTCCTGCAAGAGAGGAAGCCAAACATACAGCACCATCAGGAAACACAACACAGACATGGCTGTTTGCCACACGGCCTTTTGTACTCCTGAGCACAAAACAGTTCACTGGGGAAAGTGACTTCTCTATTGCTTGTTCAGAGTAATAAGATGTTTTCATCTTATTGCTTGTTCAGAGTAATAAGATGTTTTCATCTTCAACAAACAGCAAAAGGGTGAACATCCTGGATGTGAAAATTTGGTATACCAGGGAGTTGTGGCATGCAACAAAAATACTTTTGTTTCATCTCTGTGACAATTTTCAACACGACATATAACATCTTCCTCATAAGAGAAGTGAAAAGGTAGATCCTTTCAAATGGTAGCTTTTTCCCAGAATTACAGTAAGACATGAAAAACGCAGTCACAAACAATCCCAGCATGGCTCAGCACAGAAGTTAAAATAGGCAGGCTGTTCTATGTTGTGCATACTACACTGACTGCCAAGAAAGTAGCTATTTTAGTAACATAATATCAGAGGAGAATAAGCTAAAATTGTTAGAATGAGAGCTGAGATGTCTTAGTGACACGTCATGTGAAACGTACCCTCCATATACTCATTTTACGCCAAGGGAGAGCAATTTAACAATTTAAATGTTTAATTAATTCAGGGATTCTAAGTTAGGATCTTATAAACAAACCTTTAGTCTCTTTGGACATAAACTTTTCAAGTTCCACAGAGATTTTGTAACTTAAGTAGATTTTTTCTGTTCTCCAAAATGTTAGAAGTCTTAATTTTCATCAGGATATAATGTGTAATTTCAAAATACTAATTTATGTCCTCCAGTACTCTATGCTACTTACCCAGAATGGTGTACAAATTCAGAACCAGAATTGAGTAATAGAAGGTGTTTGTTTTACTGAAGACATGAAGAGAGTACGAAGTCAGAGTAAATAATCCTGGCTTTTCTAAAGAGACAATATTTAAGAAAAATATACTTAATTCAGGTTGCAACCCACCCCCCCCATATATATATATAAAAAAAATACTGGTCTTTCTGAAACAAATCTGCACATTATGCACTCATTCCATTAAATAAGGAATATAGTAATCTTTTGTATGTCTACAGAATAAATGCAGAGGAATGCATTTCTCCCATTACTGTGATAACTGGAAGTAAAGAACTGACAAATACACAAATCTATATTAAAAACAGCAGAGGAAGCTGCCATTCTAAATGAATACACTTACTGTATGTAAATAAAATAGAACAACCATTCTATACCCAAAAAATTAAGTTAGCTAGAATGAAAAACATGGACAAAGTACATATTAAATGAAAACTAAGAAAATCAAAACAGTAACTGTGCAAATCCAGAAAGACAGGTCAGCATGGACCAGATTAACTGGATTTTTTTTTAAATTGAATCTACTTAGTAAGATCTGATAGCAACTCAGATCAAATGAAGGCTAGGCGTTAAAATGACAGTATTCTGATAAGTGTGTTAGCAGAAAAAAAACAATATTAACTTTTAAATTGAAGCAGACAATTAATAGATTGAGACCAAGTGAGCCTTACAGAAGTTAGCTTGTGGAGTTTCAACTATTATGTGGCTGCCCTTCTCGAAAGAATTAACCCCTAGAGGGCAAGCTTGACATTTGGAAATCAACAGCACTAAGAGACTTGTTCAGTAATTTGTAAAGCATTTGTCATGGTCCACATGGACCTAGCTGATCACAGAGTCAGCTCTTTTAATTTTTAGCTGCTAAATTCCATAAAGGCAACAGAAAATCTATTCTTTTTCTATGTAAGCAGTTGCTGTAGTTACCTCAGGATGCTACGTGATTATGAGTATAAAGGAAGGGACAAACACCGATATGAATAGGAAGGGAGGTGGCTTCCAGAAAAATCTCATTAGTAAGGTGTGGTTCAAATAATTGTTTAAAGGATAAGCACACAAGCTTCACAGTAGTAATTTTAATTTACCAGATTTATCACCAAAAAAATATCAAGTTATGATAGAACTGGCCTTAATATTGAGAAAGACCCACTCCTGTTCATGTTCTATGCAAAAATTAACAAAATTATCTTTGCAGAAGGAAATCTGTTTCTCCACTCAAGTGACAAAGAATTCTGTGACAACTGTAGTGAAGCAAGCACACATACAGAACTAACACAAAATAAAACATTCCTTTCCCTATGCATTGGAGAAAATTAAAATAAAACTTTAGACTTCAATCAATTGAATTTTTGTTTAAACAAAGATGCCTGCTCAAGTTTTTAGTTTTTAATTTACTTTATTTGATATATTGGAGGTTTTCCAAGTACCCTTAAAAGCAAAACAGTAGCTTCTGAGAAACCAATCGAACCCCAGAGTAGTAGATGCAAAACACATATGGTCATTAACAGCGCAATTACTTACCTATTGTTAGCATACAGATAAACAGTAAAAAGTTTAGGGGAAAATGATTCTCTAAAACCCACAAACATTGGTTCATACCTTTGAGTACTGGCTTTTGGAGGTATCTGAAAACAACAAGCAAGGTGATCTGAATCAGCACAATCAGTCCAAAGAGCACACGAGCCTGAAAAGACAGTTTTGACTCTAAGCCAGCTGTGGAGTAGTACCAGCCTTGGAGCATTCCTTATGGACATTGACAGAATGGTACAAAGATTTCTAACTGAAACACATATTCAAAGCTTGATGGTGTCATTGAAATGAGGAGTAAAAAGAAACAAGAGTTTCTAAGTTACTGAACTTGTTTCATACTGACTTGAATTCAGTTGAATGGCTGAAAGTGATAGACCTGAATCTTTAAAAAAATGGAGGTTGTAAAATACATCAATTGAAAAAGTACAAATACACTTCCTAGGCAAGACGTTTTTTGAGTGCTAAAGAGAACTGCAGTTCAAGACAGTGTAGAACATCTGTTACTGATTAACAAAAATCATAACTTTGAGCCAATAGTAATATGAATACAGTCACGTGGACTCTCTTACGTTGTTCTAAAAGTGCACCTAAACTATTATGACATGCATTCTTTGCATGTACTGAGCTGTAACATCTGGATATGACCTGGAACTTACTGAAGTCGACAGGAATTTTGCCTTCCTCTTTGCTGCAGCTAGCTATAATGTCAGCAGCTGGTAGTGAGAATATTTCCAGCATTCTTGCCAGAACACATATTGCAACAGATCACAGTGAATTTTTTTTTTAATAATGTTTCCTTTTCCTACCATGTCCAGTAGCTTCTTTTCAATTTCTTGCTTGCACAAAATGTGGGTATACCTATGCCCAAAAATGGAAATAGTGAACTAAATCCAGGAGGTCAACTGTTTGCATGAACCACTGCTGTACATTTGTGGTTGAATCATGCAACTTGAGAAAATTGAAGTATTTTGGAATTCCAATGGAGTCATATCTGGAAAAAGTGAACTGCATTCGAGTCTACCAGGAATTAGGAAAATGCCTACTGCAGCTCTGGGAAGCCAAAATGGAATGACAGCTGTTATGATGAAAGTACTTACTAAAACATAGTGGTCAGTGAGAAGAATCACAGATGGCCAAAAGTCAAATCTAAGAGAGAGGTTTTCTTCCATAGCAAATATATGGCCCCGTGTGCCAATTCTTCCCGAAGCATCCTACATTGATATAAAGTAAGAGAACAATTAGATACCAGTAGCACACAAAATAACAAGTTCCTAATTATCACTGAAGCTTTTCTAGAAAGATCTAGTTGATGCATGCATGTCTAGCATGCTGCTGTATTAAATACTTCTACCCACAAATGATTACTTGCTGTCGATTTTACAGTTTCAAGTAACTTGGTGATTATAAGATCAGAGTCTGAAAGTGCTACATATGAAAGAGAACTTGTCAGAGACTCAGCAACTTGTGGAAGACAGTGACTGTTTACTGATCCCACCACCAATTTTTTTCTGAAAATTCAATTCTAGGTAATAGCCCATATAAAAATATTTTGAAGCTTCATTGTGCTTTGTTTCTGGTGTATTTGCCACAAACCAGTATTGATAAACAATAACAGTGCTTCACTTATTCAACAGTTTGATATTTCTGCATATGTAACTGACATCTGTGGCAGGTTGGCCCTGGCTGGGTGCCAGGTGCCTACCAAAGCTGCTCCGTAACTCCCCTTCCTCAGTTGGGCAAGGGAGAGAAAACTTAATGAAAGGCTCATGAGTCGAGATCAGGATGGGGAGAGATCACTCAGCAATTGCCATCATGGTCAAACAGACTCTTAATTGCAGAAACTAGCTTAATTCATTACCAATCAGAGTAGAACAAAGAGAAGTAAACTCAAATCCTAAAAACACCTTTCTTCCACCCCTCCCTTCTTCCCAGGCTTAACTTCACTCCCAAATTTTCTACCTACTTCCCTCACCAGCACAAAGGAATGAGGAATGGGGGCTGCAGTCAGTACATCACGTCTCTGCCGCTCCTTCCTCCTCACACTCTTCCCTGCTCCAGCGTGAGGTCCTCCCACGGGAAACAGTCCTCCACAAATTTCTCCAACACAAGTCCTTCCCATGGGCTGCAGTTTTTCCTGATCTGCTCCAGCATGGGTCCCATCCACAGGTGGCAATCTTCAGGAACAGACTGCTCCAGCATAGTTCCCCTACAGGGCTCAAGTCCTGCCAGCAAACCTGCTCCAGCGTGGGCTCCTCTCTCCACAGGTCCTGCCAGGAGCCTGCCCTAGTGCAGTGGTCCCATGGGGTCATAGACTCCTTCAGGCATCACCTGCTCCAGTGTGGGGTCCTCCAGGGGCTGCAGGTGGATCTCTGCTCCACTGTGGACATCCATAGTCTGCAGTGGGACAGCCTATCTCACCATGGTCTGCACCACGGGCTGCAGGGGAATCTCTTCTCCGGTGCCTGGAGCACCTCCTGCTCCTCTTTCTTCATTGACCTCAGAGCTCACATATATTCTTGCTCCTCTTTTCTCTTCCCACAATTGCTCTTGTGCAGTAGCTTTCCCCCCCTTCTTAAATACCCTATCCCAGAGGCACTACCACTGTTGCTGATTGGCTTGGCCTTGGTCAGCAGCGGGTCTATCTTGGAGCCGGCTGGCACTGGCTCTGTTGGACATGGGGGAAGCTTCCAGCAGCTTCTCACAGAAGCCACCCGTGTAGCCTCCCACTATCAATACTTTGCCACACAAACCCAGTACAACACCTTATCTTCCAGTACCTAAGAAATGGTTTATTTATAGGTAAGGGTTCAGTATGTTCAGCGTGATTACAGCTGAGATGCTATTTAGACAATCCCAGAAACAATGTCCAGCAACTGAGTATTCATATTTTCTTCAGGTACCTGACTTAAGGTAACATTTCATTCTCCTCACTTTTCCAAAACTATTCAGTTACAAAATATAATAGTGATTTACGACTGGAGACCAAAAGAAATTAATTTTTAAAAAATCCCATTCAGTTATCTGATAACAAGGATGTATTTGCAAGCAAACTATTGCTACACAGGCCTGTATAACCCTCTTCAAATATTTCTCAATTTTGTGCATGTTTTCTTCATAATTAGAAAAAAAAACCAAAATAAACCACTTTCTGAAGTAAAGCATCACAGAAATTGGTAACAAGGTAGGAGGTAGAACACTGGGCAGTACAGAAAGGCCATTAGAAAAAAAACAGTATCGCTCTTGTCCTGTGACAAATAATGCCTAGCTGTGCAGAATGTTATAACAGTCTGATTGAATTCTTCAACGATCACTTGAAGGTACAAAAATAAAATATAGTAGTAAAAACAGAAGCAGTCACTGAAAAAGGTTTTCTGCACACAGTAATCTAATAGCAGTTAAGTTTTATATTATGAGAAACAGAAACTATATTCCCTATCAGGCTGTAAGAAATCATGAAAAGAACTTCAAACAGTTAATCAAAGGCAGCATTCCAATCTTTCAGATCCAGCACTTTTGCCTTCTGAGTTACCATGATGCCATATTTTCTTTGATCAAGCTCAATTAATTGTTTTTCCCAAGACAACCGTAAAAGTTAATTGTTTCCTGTTACTAAAAATTTAGTTTTGATCAATTACTTGAATCATAGAATACCAGGTTGGAAGGGACCTGAAGAATCATCTGGTCCGACCTTTCCTGACAAAAGTACGGTATAGACAAGATGGCCCAGCACCCCGTCCAGATGAAATCTTAAAAGTGCCCCATTTTGAAGAATCTGCCATTTCCCTGGGGAGATTATCCAATGGCTGATGGTTTGCATTCTGAAAAATTTTCCTCTTGTGTCTAATCAAAATCTCCCCAGGAGTAACTTGCACCCATTACCCCTCATCTTTTCCATGCAACTCCTTATAAAAACAGATTCTCCATCTTCTTTGTATCCACCCTTTAAATACTGGAATATGGTGATAAGGTCTTCCCTAAGCCTTCTTTTCTCGAGGCTAAACAAACCCAGCTCTCTCAGCCTTTCCTCACATGGCAGGCTTCCCACTCCTTTCATCATCTTTCTGGCCCTTCTCTGGACCCTCTCTCCAGCCTGTCATAGCACGGAAGAAAACTGAGCACAGTGTTCCAGGTGTGACCTGACAAGCACTCGGTAGACTGGGATAATGACTTCTTTATCTCTGCTGGTCATGCCTTGGTTGATGCATCCCAGCATTTCATTGGCTTTCTCTGCTGCACAAGCACACTCTTCACTCCCATTGACTTGTTGTCCACCAGGACTGCCGAAGTTGCTCCCCAGCCAGGTAAATCCCAGCCTGTGCTGCAAGCCTGGATTACATTTTCTCAGGTGCAAGTTCTTACTTATCCTTGTTGAACTTCATAATGTTCTTGTTGGCACACAATTCGCCCTTGGTGAATCCGTGTTGGCTTTTCCCCATCATGTGCTTCATCTGACTTGTGATAGCCTTCCACATAGATTTGTTCCATAACTTTCCCAGGGACTGATGTAAGACTGATGGGCCTAAAATTTCCTGGATCCTCCTTTAAGCCCTTCTTATAGATGGGGGTGACATTAGCCTTGTTCTAGTCTTCTGGGATGTCCCCCGCTCCCCACGACTTCTCCCAGGCTACAGAGAGCAGCCTCGCAACAACGTCAGCCAGGTCTCTTTAACGCTTTCGGGTGGAAACTGTCAGGGCCCATCGATTTGTAGGGTCAAGCTCCTGTAACAGTTCACACACCAACTCTTCCTTCACTGACAGTGGGGCTGTGTTTGCATCAACCTGGACCCCTGTTTCCAAGGCCCGAGGCCCAACACTGCTGGTAAAGACAGAGGTGAAGGAAGTGTTGAGAACCTCTGCCACACTGTTGGTGACTAATTTACCTCTGCTGTGTAATGGTGGGCCAGTATTTTCCTTCTGTTTCTGCTTTTTGTTTATGTACCTCAAGAACCCTCTCCTGTATTTTTGACATCTATGGCCAATTTCAGTTCATGCTTGCTCTTCTGTCATGTTTTAATATATTTCTCACGAAAAATAAGAAATCTTTCTTTTGTCCAGCTGCTTTATATTTCAGTGCTCAGCAGTCAGCGTCCTTTGGCTTTTTGTAATCAGACAAATGTGAAAGGAAATCTGTTATCATGTATTTTATTCCTAGTTATGTGATGCAGAAGGGTGATGGAGAAGCCATCACAACAACAAAAAAAATTTAATACAAAGAATGCCAACCTCACCTGGACAGTCACATCTATGTGATGGTACCCTTCACTGTAGTTTTGTGGGCTCCACTTCAGCACATAGAGAGGACCAGACACCTGATGCGCATTCCCCAAGTGAACTCTGTCTATGTAGACTTTGACAGAGACAATGACAGAAGGAGAGAATGCCAGAATTCTAAGGAGTGAATAAAGAGCAAAATAAACAGATTTGTTACAGGACTTGCAGACTTCTCATTGCTTCCTTAAGAGAAGTCCCTAAGGATTTAGTACCTTGTACTAGAGTTCAAAAGATTTAGAAGTTAAAACAGTGAAGTATCAGTAGGCCAATGGTAACATGGTAGTAGCTCTTTCCTACAGCTAAAAAATGTAGTTCTATATGGCACTGCACAAAAGAACAGGATAGAAAACTGGCTGTGGAACACACAAAAAAGTGGCAAGAGATCATAAGGTCCTGAAGAAATAATCTTAGAACCCTTGCTTTCAAAACATTTGCTAACACAAATGGGATGCATCCTCCTGCACATACAGACACAATCAAACACTTATAGATGGCTTCATTAAAAATTGCCAGTCTCTCTCTCTAAAGTCCTTTGTTGTTTGGTGTGGGTTTTTTCTTCTTCTTTTTGTCTCTTTGCTAGTCAGAATATAAACTTCTCAGTCTTTGTAACCACATTTATGAGACACAGAGTGGAACGCAAGACTGGTATTACAGATCTCAGACACCAACAGATGTATTATCACTTGGCAGTGCTTATATTCAGAGAATCAGTCATGCTAATGTAGACTTAAATTATTACACATATAATTTCTTTCATTTCTGGTAATACAAAAGGCATTCCAGTTTCAGTCAAATAAAGGAGTCTCATATATTTATGGTGAACTATTCTACTAGTTCATATATTTAATATAATCATAAGAATGTTGAGATAAGGTTCTGAATAGGCAGCTGGAAAGAAAGACACTTACTGGACACTACTTCTTAAATGAGAAGTATGACAAACCTTTTTTGATTGTAATTCTGTGTATGTAATACTTCAAGCATATTGGTCTGATAGCAAATACAAAATGTTGAAAAGGGCCAAGAAATTTGACATATAAATGAAAAAATTAAATAGAAGAGGAAATGGAAAGATGGAAAGATTTAAAACCAACATGAAAATTGGAAAATCAGAAGCTTCTTATGTTTCAATATATAAAGGATGTAAAACTAAAACACAAGAGGCTGAGAAGTCTGAAGTGAATAGAGAAACTTAGAAAAATACATAGACAAAATCCTGAAATTGGCAGAGGCAACATGAACACATGACATAAATAACACAGATTTAAACAACACAGATTACATATTAATCTAACTCTATCAGCTTTGGTTACATAAAAAAGTTCAACTGACTTGAGGGGAAATAACTGCATAAATAAACATGAATCACTTCTACACAATTTCTTTATCCCATATGTGATACGAAGAGAGTTCTCAGGAATAATCTTCCAGAGAAAAGTGAATTCTGAGAACAGTGGGCACACATTTAAAAGAAAGCTTTGTGCATACACATATATATATGTAGTTAAATACTGTGAAATCAAGAGACTACAGGGTACCTGATATGAGTGGAATGAAGGATTTTGACTAGTGGTTCATGAGTAGAACTGCTGTAAAGGAAGGACTTGGGATTGGTGATGAGAACTACAGGCCATTCTTCAAAGTTAAGATCTGCAAAACTAAGGAGGTCGTGGTCAAATGCAAGGAGCCGGTACCTATAATGAAAAGAAAAAAAATTTGTTAATACAAACAAATGAGCATGCACAGCTCATTCCCATGCTTCTCAAGTTCCTAAACAGAACTTCTTTGATTTATTTTCCATTTATTCTCTTCTGTAGTTGATTCTATATCAACCAACTCTACTGTGCAGCTGGTTACCTCTGATTAGGTTCATTTTATTATAAATCACAGAAGCAGTACTCAAAATTAAAAGTGGCAAGACCTATGGAATTTTTCACACGAATCAGATAGATGAACAATAAGTTAAATAACTCAAATATAATATACATTACTACAGTGTCTGTGCAGGTACTCTAGTTATGGACCAAGACCCCACTGTGCCCTTTCCCTGTATGCATACAAGTATCTTCTTTGGATTACTGCAGAATAAAAGCTAATATACTACTATACACTCCATGTAGCATCAGATGTGTTTTGATATGCTGTTAAGGTAACATTTCTCATGTAGACTACTTATGCATCTAGAATTCTAACAGCTAGTGCAGAGCATGGGTATTTTGAAGTAATGATGCTGATTTTTTTTACAATTTATTCATCTACATTTGAATATATTTTTGAATATACATTTGAACACAACACATACTAAATGGACATTTAGAGGTCCCTTTTTTAACTTCTATATATCAAGAATTAATAAAAAATGATGTACATTATTAGCACACTGTTAGTATGGGAAAAAAATCCCAAACTTACACACAAAGACATTTTTCAAAAGCATTAATAGTAACAACCAGTCATTCTAATCTCATGCTCTTTTCAAATTCACCAGACAGCCTAAGAGGGAATCACAGAAGAGTCAGGTGGGCTTCATATAATAATTTGCTCGCCTAGGCTTTACTTACCTTCTGTTATCCATCCAGTCTCCCAGTTCGAGTTCCAGAGTGCCACCACGGTGCTGACTGTGCAACACTGGCATAAGCCCACCCATTGTATGGAGATGTCCACATAAATAGGCTGTGGCAGAACTAATAAAAGAATTGTGATTATTTGGGTGGGAAGGAAATATCACTACAGAAAACCTGAAAAGTGAGAGTTAAGCATGTTAAGTGAGGCGAGAAATGTACTTCAAATTGAAAACACGCAGGATAAAAAGACTTTACCTCATTAATGTTCGTATTCCTGGGGCTGGGGAGATGATTGTTGAGGTGGTATAATGGCCAAACCAGATAGTATGGTTGCTGTGCAGACTTTCTGTTGCCATCAAAGATAGCTCTGCCATTTGATTCTGAAATGGACAGGTGTTTGAAAGACAACCAAACAAATCTGATTAACATTCAGGCTATTGTGAAAGAATAGCAAAAGGAAAGCAGAAAGAAACTAATGAAGAATGCAATTAATCTCTCTCTTTCTTTTTTCTTTCATTACAGGGAATACTCTGAGTTGAGTTGCTTCAGGGACCTGTGTGTGAACAACTATACCACTAGATGTAACCCTAAAATCTGATGTTGGAAAAAGAAAATGAAAACCAGACGCTCAATGCCTTCTTTGCAATCTAACACAGGAAGAATGAAATGTAAAGATAGATGTTGGTAAACAATATTCTTATCCTTTCTACTGCTTATTTATATAGCAAAAAAGTTAATTTTACAAACATCTTTACCTTACAATTATCATCCTTACCATTTCTTGAGTTGCTAGATGGCCTTGTAGAGGCATGACAGACCACAGAACCTGTGCACCACATGCTTCAGTCATTTAACTAAATGAACTCAGATGCTGAATCTTAAAAATATTACTCAGCTATTGCTGTTAAAGTTAAGCAAAAGTAACACTTTACATAGGAGGTAAAATTTCTCTCCTACTTGTTTGAATTCCAATATTAAATCAACCACTTAATGTCCAGAGAGTGTCCCAATACCAGTAAGGTCTCAAAATCTAATTTTTCTAAATAAATGTCCCACATTCATAATAATTTAAAAATGTAAACACTCTTTTAGACAAACATACATATTCAAAACAATTTTTCTATATAGAAACAAATCAAAATTCCAAACAAACCACTACAGAAGTAAAATGGCCAGCAAAATGGAATGGCAAGACCTATACAATACCGTGTTTAAAATCCCAAAGAAATTATAGGGTCTCTTAGGGCCTGGGCTGAGTGTGGCATCCACGCAGATGAATGAATAGTTCCCAAAGGAGGTAGTGTGGATGTAATGGAAAGAGCCATCTTTACGCCAGGCAGAGTATTTCCTAACAAAATAAAGTGGAAATATTGCTGTTAGGAAAGCCTGTAGCAATGACAACAGCGACCTGCATAGTATAAACGCAAGATGCCTTGCAAGCATTAGATCTAGCTCCTTCTTGTTACTGCAGTAGTCTCTTAAAAGTCAATGGCATTGAAAAATCTGTACTTCAAAGAAGATGCATTACATGGGTTATGTGTTAAGACAAGCAGCAAGTTAGCACACAAACATTTAAAAAAACGTTAGCACAAATATGCTTTCCCTGAGCAACACAGTACTTTTTTATGGATAAAGGATAGGCCAGCAGTGTACAACAAACAGGTGAGATGACAGAACAGCAGGATCTTACACAATTCTTAATTAAAGGAGAACTACAAATTAAAAATAAAAATTGTCCTGTGTTTATCATGGTATCCAAAAGAATTTTTCCTTGCTCACCTAGAGCATATCAGGGACATCAAGTCTTGTCTCCATTATTTTGTTAGATTTCTCTTAAGTTACTCTCATGTAGAATAATCAGCTCTTGGCTAATGGAATATGATATTGAAGCAAAGAAATGTTGAACTTTTTCAGTTATTTTCCAAAAGATGGAAAACAGAGACACTACATTAAATCTTATAAATAGTAAAGAAGGCAGCATTTCTCTTTGCTGCTTCTTTTTTATTTCTTGATGTAGCAAATCTTACCAGTTCTCTTGGTAATGTCATTATCAGGTCAGTGGAATGTCATCAGAGTTCTTTGTTCAAAGAGTAAGAGGAGAGCAGAAAAAGGGTTGCTATTCTTTTGCACGTTACTGAATATTAATTGAACTCTTGAATCTTAATCTTCAAATATTCTAAGAAAGAACTGTGAATAGGGGAGGACTTAAAAGACATGTCAACTAATTCCACCTTTTTTTTTTTCTCCTGTGCTTTTATCCTAATATTGGTTACAATAAATACATATAATAATGTATACATGTTTCTTTCTCTCCTTCCATTGACAACAGATAATTTCAGTTTTTCTAACTTATAAAATTGAAGTGCTTTTGATACTTTACGCTAGATGGGAATTGTGTACATCTTCTACTGGCAAAGACAGATAACATTCCAACGAATAGTAGCTACTAAATTCCTCTATTAAGAATTGAATTCTGTAACTAAAATAATTGTGTATAAATCTAAAATTAACTAAAACTCATTTGGTTCAATTGGGGGGGGGCATTTTTTAATTTTCTTTTGGGGTTTTCGGCTGGGCTTTCTTGTATGGGTTTGTTTTTTGGCTTTTTTTTTTAAACTCCCTGCACGATATATGGAAGCTAAAACATTCCTGAGTTCAGATGATGAGTATAGTTTGAACATAGAAAACCAGAAAACAGTTCATAGCATTATTCCTCCACCAAACAGAATAAACAATAAAACTGCCTGAAAAGTTGTCCTGAATAAAATAAAAGCCAATATATTAAATGCAAGTTTTCAACATAAAGCAATACTTCTAACGCCATGGAAACCTTCTCACAATGTTTATTTTCTTGAAGTTATGGTTACCTTTATGAACATCATGAACTTCAATAAGAGAATTGGAAAGCTCAGTATCATAATCCTAAGATTTCTACCTTTAGTCCCTCTTAGAATATGTGTAACAGTTAAATCATCCTCTGATAATCCTGTGGCCATGAAATAGGAACCCATGGTTTTGTGTAAGAATATTGTTGTATATCAATACAACCTGCTGCCTTCTTTAATTTTAATACATAATGAACACCAGAATGTGGTGGCAAATAACTGCTTTTTCCAGCTTCTATTTTTATAATTTTAATATTTTCATATTATTTATGTTTTTATATATAAAAAACCAACTCCATTTTAGTCTGCCATCTTCTCTCTCCTAGACCAAGACTAAACATTTTCTTAATATTTTTGTTCTAATTAAGTATTAGATTAACAAAATTATCCCTGTATGATGGTTCTGCTTTGAGTGATGCTTAATAGTTTTTGAGGACTTTTAGTGCCATTCTTCGATTTTAGGTAGAAAGCATGATTAATCTTATGGAAGTTTCTTTATTTTGCTATGATGACAGACTATAATGCAGCATTGCCATCGTGAGAACACATTAGTTTAGCAAGAGACTTAATTAATAAGCAAAGACTTTTTCACCTGACTAAGAATTTCACTCAAATTCCTAGGTTGTCTAAATTTCTTGGAAATTTCACCATAATTCTTTCCAATCCCTTTTGCTATCAGTACATCTTCAATGTGGATTAGAGGCAGGTGATCCATACATCTTCACAAAACAGCAGGCTTGTCCAGGACAAACAACAATTCAGGGATGATCCGGGGAACTGACTGGTGCAACATCTTCCCTTGTGTCTCACTAGGACTTCTGATAGCAGCCTTAAACTAGAGTGGGAGACTGATACTAGATTGTCATGTAGCCACAACTTTGGCAAAAGACATAGGGATGTGCTCTAGCACCTACACTAGCACCTACAAAAGACTTATTAGCACCAATCATCCCCTCCTGGTAAATGCCCATGTGAATTCCACGTTCTCCTGCAAATGCAGCTGCTATAGGATCCCATACCATAGAATTTGTGGGAAAATGTGTCTGCTCCTGCTGGGTCACAGGGAACTGAAGCAAGCTGAACTATCAGATGTTTTTGCAAAGAGGATGGCTCAAGGGCCTGAGTTGAAGTAAAATTTAGATTTCCAACTCCTCCTCCAGTTCCAAAGAGTCAAAATTGAAAGTGCCATCAATATTATGAGACAAGATTTTGTGTTCAGATGTGAAGGGCAAGAGAAACTGAGAAGATAAACACAATTTACAACTGAGCCTACCTTTATAATGTACCAGCAATAGAGCCGGCTGAAGGGGGGAAAATTTCCTCACCTATCTTCACATTTAAATCTCATATGAATATCCCTGAAGAATATCTGTCCTCCCATCATCATCTGCCTTCTTACTTCTCTACTTTCAGTCTTCTAAAATGACTCAGATGGGAAGAAACAGCTCAAATAAAATTAAGACCCATATGACATGAAAATCCCTTTGGGCGTACAGAAAGAATATTAAAAAAAGAGAAGTTTTAGCTTGCTTTTTTTCCACCTATTTTAAGTAGGAAAAACATTCTCTGGGAACACCTTTTACAAAAATATATCACAACTTTTCTGAGGAAACTGAACACAACACACAGAACATTTTATAGACGTGAACAGATTTAACCCATTCAGTATTAAACACAGAAGGATAAGAGATAAGTCTGCACAAAGAATTCTCTATTTTATCAAACTATTCTGCTCTACTAACTGACAAAGCAAAAGACAGAGGGAATAGCAGATATGATGCTGGACTATAGGAAAGTCAGTGAAAAACTATGATAACTGGAAGCAGAATATTGTTTAGTGAGTTTGACCTTGAATATAACGGCATCTGTATGGTAAATAAAAGTACCTGTAATAATTCTGAATGCTATCCAGGTGTGGAATGTTGAATGAATCTGTAAGGAAGAGAAAAAGGAAATGAGGAAACTTTCAGATCAAATTGATCATTGACCCCCATATTTAACCTAGTAGTATTCAAATATAGTGATCTCAGTAGGTGCTGAAGAGCTATTTTTTTTTAAATGCATAATGGACAAGCAGAGTGTCTAACTGCAGAGAAGACATTATACACTTGATGCAGTTGACCTAAAAGTGGCAACAGTTTTCTCATTTAAGTTTCAATTCAAAGATAAAGTTGTTGTGGGAATGTAAACTGTTATTTAGTGGCCAACAGCTAAAGCTCTCTCCACTTTGACCACAGAGCTTTTCAGAAGCTTTTTGGTTTGGGTGAATTCTCTACAAGTAAGACCTAACTCATTCACAGAAAATAAAGTAGCAATAGCATCAGAGAATAGTGTGTGTAAATCAAACAGCAACCAGGGGAGGTTTGTACTTCAACTAGGTTCCACCTCTCCATTAAGGCTGGTAACAGAAGCCTGATAGGGAAATCAGTATATATGACAAAGCATGTACTTTTCCCCACCCACCCAGTGCTAGGCTTTCTCGTTCTGCCCTTCCTGTAACAGCTGGTTTATGTAGCCTACAAGGCTGTTAACCTGAGTTTGTCTGACTAGAACGTGGCAACAACTGTGATGTGTACAAACTGCCATTAGTCCTTTCTATTCAAAAGAACCCAAATTTTCTTTACCTGCTGGAGTGTTATTGCTACCTTTTTAACTTAAACCTGGGGTCTGGGGAGGTGAGAAATCTATGAAAAGTAAATTGAAACAATTTCTTCAGTAGGGTAAGGTTACCTTTTGCCCTTCCATTAATTAATGTGGTATATAAACTAGTGACCTGGAATCTAACATCTGACGGTATGTTCTACAACTTGCCAGGAAAAAGACTTACTTCTCTGGTAGTAAAACTCCAGTAAGTGCCTGTAAACAAAGTGTGCCCTCAGTAGACATGTGGATGGCAAGCCCTTCTCGATTCATAATTACCACTAACATACTAGTGACTACTAACACTTTACCTCTATATTCTGTGATCTGCAATCACAGGAAAGACAGATTGCCTTCTTACCATGATTCCCTTTGATGTCTATCCACTTGGTTTTTTCCATGACTCTTGATCTCTTCAGGATTGACTGGTAAGTTTTCCACTCTTCTTCTACCTGCTCAGACCCCAGTTTATCTCTTGTCTTAGCATCTGTCAGGTCACCTGGAGGTGTACAAAGGTGAGATTATAACTAGAGGCCTACACAGCTTATACAATTACTGTAACTAGACATGCATCCCTGCCTCTGAGTGTAAAAGGCTGCAGGCCTACTGAGTACAATCTGGATGTTCCTGTACCTGGTCCAAGAGGTTACTATAAGGGGAAATGCCTTCTAATGTAGATGCAGCAGCCTCATCGGACATCTATTGACCACATCACCGCAACACTTTCACTAATGCCATGCCAAAACAAAGCAAACTGTTAGGCATTCACTATATCTGAAGATTTTAGTCATAAGAGCTTTGTTTAACTGCACAGCTTCTGTATCGCCTCAAGCTCCAATTAAAGTTCGAACCATTCCCACTTCTGTTCACACAGTCATAGCAGGACAAGAAGGAAGGTAGTGGCTAGCAAGGACTAAGGTGTAGCAACAAATATTAAGAAAACAATATCCTGCATAATTGTGTCTGTTACATATAAAACACACTAAACTCACCATCAGACTCAAGACATTAAGCAAAAACTAATTCTCTTGAGTTGTTATTCTCTTCTGCTTCCAGCAGTCTATCTTCAGCTGCAATTTCATTTCCATTGCTTAAGACACCTTAACACTTTAAAGTTCTCTCTTGAGATCCTAAAATGTTGCTTATTTGCTCTTCCTTTGACAGCACACTCAACAGGAAATTCACACTTTTGAATTGCTTACCTGTTGCTAGAACAAGTGCGGGTTGAATTATGTCAATTGTTTCAGAACAGAATTTTTCGAAGTCGGGAGCTCGTTTGGGATCCCAAAACCTGCTGATATGAATATCTGACACCTGCAAAAGAGAAGAAGGAAACATTGTCCCAAGTAGAGGGTTACTGCTACCCAGATTGTTCTGCAAAGCCAACATAAGAATGCAACATCAGGGCAATCATAGTGATTCACAACAGTATTACAGATACAGGGAGGCACAAGAAGTGGATGACTAGGGCAGAACAAAAGCAGAACAAGCATATGATATTGCAACTCTAATCCCTAAATCGCATAAAAAAATCACAATAAAAAAATTTCCTTAAAACTAAGGGCATACAATAATATGGGGAAGTACTTAGCTATGCACAGTAAGTTGTGATGACTGTAAGTGACCTGCTGCCTTTCAAATTCTGTGAGCTTCTGGTGCAATGGAGTGGTTTTGCTGCAAGTGAGAACACAAAATAGTTCTGCAAAGCAAGAAGAGTTAAATTTTACCTAGGCCTTGAAGTATACCAATAACTTATTTTGTACCTGATGGGACACTTCCAGTACCTGGGTGAAAGGATTGTTAACATTTTCTCCATGCTTTTTAATGGATCTAATGAGTGTGTTTAGATCCCACTCCATGTGCCTTCAAGAAGGCAAAGATTGCCCATGAAGTCTTGATATGACTTGTACATAACAGTAAAAGTTGCTGTTTGTTTCTGAACCAGTCAAAGCCTTCACATCAGAAGAACCATTTGGGGCAGGATGGGAAAAATTAGACAAGCAAGATTTTTTTTTTTATACTGTGGCTTTTCAGGGCTGTACAAAATAAATCTTGGGTGAATGCTTTCAATTCCACATTCCATTCCACTTCAGTCAATCAACTAATAAATTGTCCTCTTCTGTTTAAACAAATGGTACTTGATGCTCAAGAAACAGTAACACATGCCCATGCTCATTTGACAATATCACTTGGAAAGAAAAACATTACCTTTTACATTCAATTTAATAAACCTGTTCTTGTAAAGCCTTTACTTTTTGAAAAATTCAGATAAAATACCTTGGAGACAAAATGCCTTACTTCTACTTATTCAGTCATCTGCATATGTAGAAAATATTACTTGTATACAGCTTTTTAATTCTGCTTAGGAAAATTCTCCATTTGGAATTACATGGAACTTCTGCCTAGATCAGAACTGGATACCAGAAAAGGTAAACATTTTTAGACATAACCTTAATTCATTTCTATTGATACATTCAAGCTAGTGTGAATCAAAGAGCACAGCAAAACTACCTCAATACATCAAACCTCATTGAATCACTGACAAGGATACAACATCTTGTTTCACTTCTCTTCAGCCCGTGGATTTGCAATTCATGTATCTCAGCAATCAAACAGAAAAAATAAAAACTTCTATACTTTTTAATTTTGAAGAAAAAAGAAGTCTTACAGGAAACCTTACTCCTGCTCTACCGGTAACTACAGAGAATGTAAATTTCCAGCCTTACAGCAGAGCATGGTTGGGAAGCTTGATTTTCCACAAAGAGCTTCCTATTATGATATGAGTTTAAAATTTAGAAAGGGCTTAACTTTTAACTTCAAAGAGTTTCAGTGTCCTGCTGGGACTTCTGAGAGCTGGGACTAAGTTTCTCTCATCACTAAAAACCCTGAAATATGAAGATCTTGGGAGTGGAGTGGGTTGTTTGTTTTTTGGTTTTTTTTAATTAACTTCCAAAGGTATCACAATAAAACAGAAGACAGCAGGAAGGGTGAAAAGCTTGTAATGCTCTTATTTAATTCCCTACAATATAGGTAAAAAAGCCCACCTGCTGCACTTCTGTCTTTCTCCTCCCTCTGACTGATATGGTTACTTAGCCTCTCTCATTGCACCATAGGCAGTAACGTTCATCAAAATGGACTGGAAGAGATTTAGGGGTGAGGAGAAATCACCATCAACATTCCTTATCTAGCAAGGATGTGGTTCAGGACAGGCAAGCATTAACAAGGGAGAATTATAAGGTCTAGAGCAACAGTAGAATGAATCTACCTGAGAGAAACAGGAGAAATAATTGTAAACTTGTCAAATACTGAACTAGAGTGTCTACTCGGCACTGGGTAAGAAAGGAAATCCTGATATAAGAAAGGTGGAAGAGCAATTAGCAGAAGATTGTAGTACAAAGATTAAATTTAGATCAGTTTAAGACAGTCCTGTGGATGGGAAGAAAAACAAGGCAAGGAACTGCAGGATTATCTTGGCCTCTATCCAGTGACCTAGGCTAGACCTATGGAGTCACCAGGGAGCCTGAAGCCTGTTTCCCACAAGATCATCAGGCACAATGCTGGATTTAGTGGTTGCTTAATTTCCAAGTTAGGTCAACGATAAAGCAGCTGCTAAAGGGGACGCCTGAAAGAGAATACAACCACTTGAAAGTAAAGCCAAGTCTTAAATTATCTGCGCTGTGACCTATCCTTGGGAGAACTGCACTTGAAGTAACACAACCAGAGAAAACATGGCAAGAGAAGCATGAAGCTGTGCACGCTGCTTGTCAGTATAGCTCTGCAGCTGCAATATGCTGCTGTAGTTGACTCTTCACAAGATAGCAACTCAAGATAGGGGCTCTACTTACATTAATTCAAACATACATCTTGTCTTGAAATCTACTCTGCAGTAAAAATAAGTCTTAAGTCACTTAAGGAAAAATTACTGAAAAAACCCTACTTTGAAAATACACAGCAAATGGAGAGAACAAAAGGACTAATAATGCGCCAGGTCATGCACTAAGAACACCACTTGCAGTTAATACATTTGGACAAAGTGTTCTTGAGTTTGGGAATAAAAACAAAACAGTAAAAGCAGCTTATTTGTTCGAAGGAAATGCACAGCAACCCTTGTGACAACTCAGCTGTCCATTAGCTGCAAATATGTAAACACCTTTGCAGCTAGTCCTACACTAAGTGCTTTGAGAATGCTCCGGGGAGAAGAGCCAAAAGAGGCCACAGAAGCACTCAGACGTGACAATTTGCTTCCAGGACTATGCCAGGTTAACTTGGATTTTATGTTTAGCCTGGAAACAAAGCTATGTACATTTAACCTTCTGAATACTAGTCTAATTCGTTCTATTGCTAAAAATCGGCATAACTATTTTCTCAGCCACACAACCTTTCTGAGTTTTGGAAGGGGAAAGGGACAGGCAGAGCCTGCACTTTTCACCGGGATATTAGACAATACTGCATCAGGCAGTGATGCAATATATAGTGTAACAATTAGGTGATTACCAATTATCCGCTTCCACCTTATCTGTTAAGGAAACTTCCCTGTCCGACCATCCAGGAGCCACTCCGGCAATCACTCTCATACCACCTGAGCTGGGACCGAAGTCCCTTCACAGCTACACACACCACACTCACAGTCAGACCAGGTTTCCTTACCGGCTCGACCCCAGGTTTCCCCAAACGAGAGTCTCAGAAGTCCAGATCCTTAAAATAATTTAATCGTGGTGCAATTACTAAATAACAAAATAACAGCTCGAGCTGGTGCCTCCGAGGAGGGACCCCGAAAACAGGAACCCCTGGGGTTTTATATCCTCACAGTCTAAGTGGGAGAAGGCTGGGGGCCGTCCGCTCCCGCCGTGTCTCCGAGTGTCCGGTCACCTGGACGGGCCACTGGTCTCCGGGCCCTTTGTCATGCAAAGGGTCGCCAGGTCACAGCCTCTTGCCTCGGGCTCCCGCTCCCCAGAGCTCAACCTGCAGCTCCACTGAAGCTGCACATCGAGCTACCGGCACTGAATGTATTCCATTACCTTTCGGGCAGCCTAGCAAAACACCTGTAACTCCGGTGTGCCCGCTCTGCCCCCAGCTCGGCGGCCGCCCCTCGCCCCCGCCCGGCCCCACTCACCTGCACGACCCACAGCAGGCCGGCGGCCGCCGCGCCGGGGGCGGGATGCGGGGCCCAGCGGCGGCGCTGCCCCGCGGCCGGCGGCGCCCCCGACGGCCCGTACCAGTCCAGCAGCAGCGCCACGGCGGCTGCCGCCAGTAGCCCCGCCGCCAGCCCCAGCATCCTGTGCCGCGCCGCCACGGTGCCCGCCCCTGGAGAGCGCTCCTGTCTCCCGCCCTCCTGCCGGGCAGCACCGCCGGCTGCGGCACTTCCGCGTCCCACCCCCCGGCTGCCGGGCCGCCCCGCGCTCGGCGGCGGCTGGGTCGGAGGACCGGTGCCAGCGGGGCCGCGGGTCGGCGCTTTCCTTCTCTCGGCCGTTTTATCCGGCGAGGTCGGAGGATTCCGGCTTGCCCGCGCTCCCTCCGTCCTGAGCGTGCCCGCTTTTCCCCCTCCCAGGCGCAGCGGTGCCTGTAAACGCCTAGGTTAAAACAAAACAAACCAAACCAAAACCCAGTCGTACGAAGAGATCAGTGTCTCATCCTGCTATCTTCCGAGTACAGCATGTAAACTTTCGCTTTTTTTCCCTGACGATATTTATAATTCTACCTGCTCTGATATCTAGGCAACTGACCTTTTTTGGTCCCTACATACTTAAAGAGTCTTTTTATGGTATTTTGAACATTTCTTTTTCATATACACCATTTTAAACCTTGCTATAGCAACTGCACAGATTCATAATTGCTACGTTATTCTTTGCTATTAACTCTTTGTTTCCTAACTAGTGCCCACATTTACTGTTGAGATTTTTTTCTTACCGTCTTAAGCATGAGTTTAGCTGAAAAAGCTTCTGTCACTTTCTTTGATATTTAATGTAGTATTCTTAAACAACTTTTCAGATATCAGAAGTTTCTAATTCAATATTGCGTAATTTTCATTATATTTTCTTATGATTTGCCATAGGATAAAGATTTAATTTTTTGCATTTTTGCATTTTAACTTTTCAGGTCAGTTAAACTTTATTAATATAATACACCCCTTTTCAGATGTTCTTGGTAATTTAGCCTCTCTTTTGCAGGACTTCATGTATGTTTGTTTGCTTTGATTGTTTTCTCCTGCCTTCCATCTTGATTGTCTGCTCCCTCTTGCCCCCAAAGAACACCCTGAACAACTGCTTCTAAATCAACAGTTACCAATCAGTAATCCTGGTAATCTTCAGGAGTAATCTCGACAACTGGGGTTTTCTCCCTTTCTTCCTGGAGGTCTACCATTTTATTTTGTGTCTAGCAGGGCTGCCAAACTACAGCATTTTGTCTCTATTAAAATTGATCTGAATCCCTGTTTTGTTCTTCTTTCCTCTATTACTGTAGTATCCATGGAGATCTTGGTGTTTTGTGCCATTTCTGCCTGGGCAGTGGTGCCAACTTGCTTTTTCAGAGATTCATTGCCACTTTCTTTGCTGTCTCCCAGCATGTGGGTTCCAAGTCTTTGTTTGTGTTATTTTGTTAAATAAGTCTAACAATAAGTCTTGTTCAACTAAAGCAGTTGATTTGCATCAGCATAAATTCTAAAAGTCACCACAGTATAGTGAAACCACACTGATAGTTCAGCTACAAGACATGGCCATACTTGTCTTGTCTCACATGGCCATGTGAGATAAGCTGCTTGTCTCACAGCACAGGGGGCTGCAGGCAGCCCTTCTGCACTTGACTTTGTTTGTTGCTTTCTTGGAATTCTGCCTTGCTTTTCTTGCTCAACTGTGTTTGAAGGTGGATTATACAATTGCTAGTGTTGATGCTAAAACAGGTGGAGGACTCCAGTAATCACAGTCTACACTTGGCTGTTGTGCAAACACATCTGGTTAGTGGTCGGCCATGCTGTTAAAAAGGATTGGTTATAGATCAGCAACATGGATAGATAAAATGAGATGAAGCTTTGAATTAATGGTTAAATGGCTCAGTGGCAAAATTCACTTTGTCTTTTTTACATCTCATGCCTAATGCTGTCTCAGTGATAATATCTACACAGTGATTTTAAGTGACAGATTTCAATAATGTAAAGAAGTCTGCAGGACTTCTTAAAATGAAGATGAGTGGTAGCTATGACAGAAAAGCTACATTCAGATGTTCCAAAGATATAAGAGAAGAGTACTTGATGCCAGATGCAGTGAGAAAAATCACTGAATATACTGAAAAAGTCACCTGTAAACTTTATCCCATCTGTACTGACAACTGAAGAACATGGAAAAGCTGCTTGGAGGATTGAAACAGGAAGACTACAGTGGAAGGAGGCAGTCTTCCTGATAGAGGTATCAGGCATTTGATAGGTGGATATGTATGCCCCCAAGGTCCAATGCTATGGCTGTTTGCCTATTTGCCCAGCCTTAAGAAGGTACAAACACAGGGAACTGTGCAATTAGACTGCAACAATCCGGAAAACTTCCAGCAGGGCTTAGGCCAGGTCTGTCATATATCAATCAAGTTCCTGAATGCCTTAATCTTCTGCAAAAGTAGCAAATGTGAAGTACCCAGAACAGTTATGATATGCTGTAGGAAGGAGGTGTGGAGGAAGATTTTAATCTTGGAGACAGGCCTTTGCTTAAAGCTACTGTTGCATCCTATACTTGTACCTAGTTTGTAAAATTTTGCCTTTGCTTAGCCCATACGGGAGACATATGGGAGCCAAGTCTGCAGAGATAGTGAGACTCCACACCTGTGTATATGAAATTACTTATGCTATTATCTTGCTAGCCAGGCGGGGGTCAGCCTCTTCTCCCAGGCAACTAACGATAGGATGAGAGGACGTAAGCTGTGCCAGGGGAGGTTTAGGTTGGATATTAGTTAGAATTTCTTCATAGAGAGGGTGATTAGACATTGGAATGCCCAGAGGTGGTGGAGTCACCGTCCCTGGCGGTGTTTTAGGAAAGACTGGATGTGGCATTTGCGGCCGTGGTCTAATTGACATGGTAGTGCTCGGTCATAGGTTGGACTCGATTATCTTAGAGGTCTTTTCCAATCTAATCGATTCTCTGAATCTGTAATGGCAGGGCGCAAAGTGAACACCCACGCGGTGCAGTTTTAAGTGCCCGCGGAGGAGCTCCATCCATGTAACTCTGCACGACGCAGGACCAACACGAGCTTCGGTGACGACCCTCCCAACGGATCCCGGGGACGCGCTGTGCCGCACCGGGCAGCGGGAGGCAGGAGGCGCTGCCGGAACGCCGCGGCGGCTGCGCGCGGGGCGGGCCCTGGGCTGCGGGCGCAGCGCCCGGTGACGGCGGCGGCTCCTTCCGGGCCGTGACGGCGCCGCCGGCCGCGTCCCTCGCTCTCAAAATGGCGGACGGAGCCGACAGAGGTCCCGGAGCAGGAGCGACGAGCGGCCGGGCCCCCGCGCAGGCCCCAGAGCGAGCTATGGTGAGGCTGCAGCCGGGCGTGGCGCCGCGGTTCCCCCTGCCTGCGCTCGGGGGCAGCCTGTGCCCTGCCCGCGCTGCCGCCCCGGCGCTCGGGCGAGCAGGCTGGCTCTCCGGAGCTGCCGAGCGGCGCCGCGGAGGGTCGGGACGCGCCCCTGTGCACCCGCCGTAGCCAGCGGGCGGCGGCACCGGCCGGGGCGGTGGGGCCGGAGCGGGCGGGCCGCTGCCCCCCGGTCTCGCCGCCGGCTTGTGGGGGCCGCACTCGGTCCCGGGGCCTCCGCTGGCTGCGGCTCTGGCGGCCGCCGGGTCTGCCCTGGGAGAGGAGAGCCAGCCCTGCCTCGGGCCCGGAGAGCCACTGTCAGGCGGCCCAGAGGGAAGCAGCATCTCACCCCCCCCGTGTCTTACTTGACCTCTACGTAATTAAGTGAGATCAAACTTTAGAAACGTTCAGAAACTCTCCTGCGTTCCTAAAGCTTTGTGGTGTATATGTGCATCTTTTATCCTGGTCCTGCCTTTACCTTTCTTAATTAAAGGTGACTTTACTATGGAACAAAAAAGACCAAATAGGAAATTACTGTCTTGCAGAATGTGAACGGAGCAGCAAATAGTATTGTTTAGAAAGGATGTAGATGAAGATAGTTGTTTATTTGCTGAACAGAAATACCCTCTTTTTTTTTTCTCTGTAAATTATTTTGTTCATCTGTGGATTTAATATTCCATTATTGAACAGAATTTGATGTTGACCCTGTCTAGTGACATGCCTTCTGTGCTTTCCTTCACAACCTTGTATAGTGATTACTATATTCAAAACACTTTTGATAGAGGAGTTTAAAACTGAAGGCTATGAATTTAAGAAAGAAAGTCAGATGGATGTGTATCAGAAACCTTATATTTTATGTTCCATTTTTCTGTAACAGTCTGCACACACAATATAGTTTTGAAATTCTTGACTGCAGATGTTTTAAAGTTGAGCACTGGCAAGCCTGTAGAATAGCTGCTTTTTGCATGATGCTACACAGCATTAATAAAAGTGGGAAGGTGTTTACTGATGGAACTTGTCTTGCATGGGGCAGCCATTATTTGTTGCACTTTTCCTCAGAATTATAAGGGTATCTGCATATCATTAGAAACGGCCCAGTCATCACAGACTGCACCCTTAAGTATATTTCTGTGGCCATAACAGGCCTATGTGTGGGGTTTTATTCTGTATTAGAAACGTTTCAGTTTTAAATTAGGAAAAATGCAGCTTGATTGCGTTATAGTGTCAAAAATTGCAACCTGAGTCAGGTGATTTCTTAAGCTTGAGAGCCATGTAGAGTCAGAGTGGTACTGAGGGCGATAGTTGCAATCAGTAGCAAAGCAAAGAAATCAACCTTTTGTTATCTGGGGACGTGAGAGACTGAGTTAGCCCAAGCAATGCATAAAACTGGTAGTTGTGGTATTGTGAAAAACTCAGATGTTGAAGAGATCCCCAGCTGCTCAAAGATGATGTTGCTCCACTAAGGTGTCTTAGTTTTTATGTGGTTTCAGCCAACTGAGAGCCTGTGGGCCAGAATTACCATTATTCCAAGAGAGGTGGTTGGCCACCCAGACTGTGTTGTCTGCTGTATATCTGAGCAAACTGCAGGAATTTTGACAGGGAGTACGGGGTGAGGGTGTATTAAGGGAGAAGAGGAGCCTAGGATATGTACTTAGGTTGTGTCTGACAGTGTTCATGATGTTAGATTGCAAACCTGGCTATAGTGATGCCAGAGACGGCTGCAGTCTGGAAGCAGTACACCCAATTTACTGCTGTACTAAAGATGGTACTAGTTAGGTGGAACTAACATATCCCGACTGACCAGTGCTTTCACTGTGCACAGCTGGTCTGAAATGTCCTTTTGCTGTGGTGCTATAATTGGGAATTTGAGAGAGTGTGAAATGGAAAACTGGCTGAATAGAGTGAGCTTTGGCCTTAGTGAACTTGTCAAATTGGTCTCAGTGTCAGCCTGTTCAGACTGTCTCTTGCTCTCCTTGTTTGGGTGCTGTTGGTTGTAGTGCAGCACTACATCTGGCTGCAACCATCTGGCTGCAAACCTTCCCAGAGCGCTGGGCACATGATGCAGGATTACCTGAATGATTCTGCAGGAGCCAGCCTGATTCTGGAGTGGATGGTGATGACTCAGGTAATAAACTCTTCTGAACCCAGCCCAGCTCCGGGGTTTATTCTCTGCCCTTGACTTCAGCTCTTCAGGTTGGATGACAGTAGTTGGAAATACTTGAGTTGGCGTTTCACTGCATTAGTTAAGTCAGGTCTTGTTTCTGCCCCCTGCTTCTCCATTGTGGCTGTATTGCTTCCTGGGTTATCCTGAAAGAGAGTGGTCTGAATTTGGGCACTGACCTGGTAATGCACCCTGTTTACCAAACTTAAGTTTACTTGCTTTCCTCTCCCAACAGGATCCACAGTTTTTTTGTCTGACTGATGGGCTGGACTTGGCTTTTCTAGTAGCTGGCTAGCAGGCATTGCTGGTGGCCTAACAAAAGCCTGCTTTGCAGGCTGAATCCAGCCCTTCGGTTGTTTGTCCATCTGTATTCTAAACAAATTCCAGTTTGACTCCTGCCTGCTTTGGTGGCTTCTAGCTGGAATATACGAGCAGGGCTTAGATACTAAACTATTTCAAAGATTTTAATTTATACTAAGTCTTCAAATTTTTATATAGGTGTATTTTAGTAATATTTGTGAAGAAAAGGGATTTTGTTTTTTGAAAGTCCTATGTTTTGCTATCATTCAATACTCTTAAACAAAAGATAAGATGTAAGTGGGGTAGTGGTGTACAAGAACAGAAAAGCTTTATTATCGGGATATTTCCTTTAAAGGCAGGAATATTTTAAATTTCAGTTTTGGGAAGTAAAACAGTTGTTTTACAAGCACAGGCGCTTGTGCATTCTGAAGTATTTCAGATCTTTTGGGTTGTTCAATGCTATTATATAGTTGAGAAAATGCATATGAGGAGTCTTGCTACTGTAGATGTGTTGTAATCAAGTAGTAATATGGAGGGGATATTCATGTTCATGAGCAGGTTATTTCTTGAATTTAATGAAATTTGAGCCAGGCATCTGAGTTGGAATTGCAGTGACTTCCAGTTTTAAATCTAAACTTTCCTAAACTGAATCAACCTGCTTAGACAAGGTGACGTCTATATAATTTTACATCACTTTGTTGAGCTAAATTTGTTTAAAATCTCACCTTTGGGTAAACCAGCATATCCCTTAATGCAATTAAGCCCTGAAATGCATTTAGTCAAAACCACTGTATTTAGAAAGTGCAGCACATTAGCAGAACAGTGTAAACTGTACAGTTGTGTGAAGTGGAGCCCATGAAAGTTGCAACAGGTAACTGGAGCATTGCCCAGGTGCTATTTGCATCCCTATATATTTAGCAATCTTCCTTATGGCATCAAGCAGTGCTGTGGATTTTTCTTCCTTGTCACTCTCATGTTTACTCATACTTCTTGGTAATGTTTGTGGCTTTTGTTAGTGCAGGGGTGAACTGTGATTGTAAAGATATCTGTTATCTTTGCTCAAGTCCGCATAAAGTGCCTAAAGTATGGTGCTGCAATACTGTTACTATTACGGTTGTGAGAGGTATGTGGCTCCAGGAGAAGGTAGCTGCAAGCAAATGTTCCTGGTAGCATGCGACTTTCAGTGCCTTCTAAATGCTAGAGCGTTAGGGAAGTTAGGGATAGACAGGTTAGATTTGGTGTATAAGGGAGTGTTTTAGAGATGCTGAATGAGTGCTAAATATGGATAGAATCACCTGAGTTTTGTTACACATTCATCCGCTGCAGAATTAGACTATGTTTACAGTGGATTGTAAAATTAATGATAATTGGGAAGTTAGGTGGTTGTAAGATGAGTTTGAGTACACAGAAATAAATTAAAAAACCTACTGTTGTTGTTTTCTGTCGTTGTCGTCCTCCCCCCGTATTAATGAATTACTTCTTTGTAAAT